TTAAATTTAACTATTAATAATGGTAAAATATTTCCAAGAAAACAGTAAATAGTACCAAATATTTTCATTAACAAATAAATATTAGGTACATGCAATTTGGTTTGTTGTTTCTCTAACACATATTCACTTACTCACTCATGGAGCTGAGCCCTTCTTGAGAGACCGCCAATTCTGCAGCTACTCAAGAATTTCCCAGCATTTTATGGAACCCGAAGGTTCATTACCTTGTTCACAAGAGCCTTCCAGTGGTCCCTATCCTGAGCCAGATAAATCCAATCCTGAACCATATATTAAAGTGCAAATAGCGACTGTCTTGTATATCTTAATTACTGTTGATTTGGATGGTGAAAAATATAATAAACATTTGAACAGAACCGAAACAGGCTTTCTGAAACTGTTTTTCGCTTGTTTCGATCCTGAATTCTTTTTATTGCTAGTGGGGTGGGACTAAGTCCCTTGTACTGCGGCCACTTCTGGCCTATTGTACCAGCCCCAGATGATAGGTGAGGGTGATTGTGGAGCAATTGGTGGAATAAAGATGAGCAGGGGAAACCGAAGTACTCGGAGAAAACCTGCCCCAGCGCCACTTTGTCCACTACACATCCCACTTGACCAGACCCGGGATCGAACCAGGGCCGCCGCAGTGGGAAGCCAGCGACTAACCGCTTGAACTATGGTGCGGCCTCCATCCTGAATTACATTCATATTTGTTATTCATTACGTCATGATTAGGTACCGTTCATTCTGTTTTCAGAAGTTCCACCGAGGGGGAACCCCATTTAGACCACCAGTCTGCCTCAGAATATATGAACAGAGGCTTCGGATTGTGCAGTACAGTGTTACGTATCTGCAGGCTACGTATAAACCATAGGCAACGGTACATAACCAACACTTTCTTTTTTTCTTCACATTCTCCACTTTACTTTCACCATATCCTCCCATTAACCGCTGTGTTTTTCAGTAACTATGTCCGTTGCAGACAGTCAAAGACGATGGCCTACATTCAAAAGCCGCCTGATGCCAACGCAACTGCGAGACATGCTAGGGCATGCAGTTAGCTCGGAAGATTACGTTGCATATTTACCGACGTTGAGCTAATAAATCTTTGTATATTAATAGTGCTTCTTCAGATTCCCAGGTTATGTTACGTAGGATGCTACAATTGGTTGAGAAATACGAATTAAAAAGGACGTGGAAAGAAGGAAGAATATGATAATTTTAAGTTATTATTGTGGTATGACTGAGTAATACAACGACGAACTTCAGTCAGAAACAAGAATGATAGCCACTTAACCATGACCTATGGCACCATGTCTCAACTACAGTGATTAAGTGGTAATGATATGAAATGATTGCTGTGTGAGGTGGATTGGAAAGGATGAATAGGAAACAGCTGGCTCATAATTCAAGACAACTGAGGAAAGCAGCAGAATACTCAGTAATTGCAATCGAACGAAAATTAGGCACGCTAATTCAGATTCTAAGTGAAATGTTCATGGTTTTCCTCGGTTCAACTCGGAAAACCCGAAAATCGCGTGTTTTGTGCTGGAGGTGAACATTTATAACGCAAATTAATGGATATCAAGGCCCAATAAGATATGCAGGCATTATAAGAAAATGTAATTGTTACTCCAAGTAATGTGAACAGCTTCTCGATAACAGATTTTACACTTTCGTCATTGTGAAAACTTGAACAGACTTCCAGTCCCACTTTCGTTCCTTCCGTCACGTTATACTATTCGCTGGACATTTCAGGTCACTTTCAAGAGCTGTCGTGCGAATGCGAAAATGTATTTGTAGTTATGATGGTAGTCAAAGGCGCACTTTTTGAAAATTCAACCAGGTCTGCCTTGAATCAGACCATCCGGTTTTCACATTTTTGAATTCCATCACAAAAATTCTTTAAAATACTTGGTCGTCAGACTTGCCCCTTGATATACTTATATCAGCAATAAATTAGTATCAAGGCCAAGGCAGGCAGCAAGCGAAGAACGCCCTTGGATATAGCCTATTTTTCAAGAGTCCCATCTTAGGCTTGCTGCCAACTTAATTAAAGATTTCTTGCTTGGTATAATTATCAGCGCATAGACATTGAGACATGTTCCTAAGACACATCTGTTTACCTTCAGCGGACTACATGGCGCTCTATCCTACAAGATACAGAACATTTCGTAATCACAGATGTTAGAACCTCAAATCCTAAATCTGTCTTCACCTCACAAATATTTATTTATATTTCTGGTAATTTCGTTTTCTTTATATTCAGTTAATCTTCTTTCTAAAAACAGTTTAATTTCATTTATTTAACTTCTATTGAAAATAACTTCATTCTGCAACAGAATATCGAATAGCCGATTAAAATAACCAATGACAAGGAAGCACAAATAAACCATGAATCAGACATAATTATGGGGCACTTGGACAAGCTCAGATACGCAAGAGCGATTCTGCAGTACAAAATTCTCATGACACGTAACATTGCATAAGAGCTGTAGCTTTGAAATGCCAGCTCTGATTGAAGGAGAAAGCCCCGTTATGTGAATATTTGACCACGATGAGGAACCGGAAAACTGCCACAGCATTACTTGTTGATCCTGGGGAGAAGAGGTCTGCTCCGTTAGTTAATGAATGTCATGATACGAAAACTTGAGACTCTAATAAGCGTTTGCAGATCAGGCATTTAAGGGATATGATATCTGGAAACTGACGGTTTGAAAACAATCTGCAAAATAAATGTTAACTAATTATGTTGCTCTTGTTTAATTCCTGACTTGTTTCTTAGGAACTTCACCGCCATCTTTGTGGGACCCTCGACGTCTCACAACCCTATGGGTGTTCACGGCCTGTTACAGGGATAGTTATTCTTCGCTCGGTCGGTATAGTTCGCTTGCGGACTACAGGCCACGGAGTTTTTATTTTCTTGGGACTCGATCGTCTAGTTCACTAAGGTTACATAATTTTAAAATAACAGAATTCGTGTAAGAAATGTTCAATTTTTGAAGTTACGAAGTAAACAGCGTATAGAATACATTTTAAAGGAGAAACCAATTTAATTTCATCATGCTTTTTCTCCATTTAGGAAGGAAACACTGTCTTGTTCTGACCTGTACCCGTTATCTGCGTATATAGGCTAAATGACTAAAGTTTTTCAGCGATTAATATGAAGACTAAGCAAATGTAATCAGGCCGGTCACGGTAGCCGAGCGGTCTAAGGCATGTACTGTCTTCGCTCGCTTGGAAACCGGGATCGTGGGTTCGAATCACACTCAGGGCATAGATGTTTAGTTTGTGTGTGTGTGTGTGTGTGTGCGTTTTTCTGTGTTTGTGTGCAGGTAGAGGCCTTGCGACGAGCTGATCACCCGCCCAAGGATTCCAACCGAATGTGATAGATTTAGAAAAACCGAAGTGAACGGAGAAGCTGATGGAGGTAGGCCTAGGCCCACTGGGGCTGTAGTTCCAAAGAAAAAAAAAAGAAATAAAAAAAAAGAAAATGTAATCAGCGTTTAAATGTACTTAAGTTGTAATTATGTGGAAATGAGGAAAGGGATCCAAAGGATATGGAATTAGGAAAGTTAGTTTTAAGGGATTTCTTGGGCATCTGTCAGCCAGAAGTGAAAAATTGACAACTATGCCCACTCATAACAGGAGACAGGAACTCTGATGCGTTCCGATGTACTCGTACAAAAAGTATAAATATTTTACAGAATTTACTGTCTCTGCTCTCGCAGCAAAAAGAAAGAGTTGGAACACCAGCCCTATTCAATATTTGTTCGCCGGCTCTTCTCCTGAACTGGGCAAAACACTTAAGGCGAACTCCCTTCTCATTCAGAAGAGAAAATGCAAATATGTACAAAAAATGGGCCAAGTACCACGTTACATTGAATCATGTGTGTCAATAGGTGCTGAAGCAAAGTGAAGCAAAGCAAGCACACATTTCGTAAGCCAAATAAAATACAAGGATGTTAACTCGCTGTCACGGTAGGCAGGGGTACTTCACAGTCTACATCCACAGGAAGAATTAACTGATAGCAGATATATCAGTGTGTGTGTGTGTGTTACGGAGTGATAGGAAAAAATTACATTATAATGGTCCAAATAAGGGCTAACATGAGCAACTCGTTAAATTCTGAACAGTGGTATGCATGACTGATTGATAAAAAACAGCTACATTTCTTAGGTATGTAAGAAAACCGCGTTTCCTAGTCTTCCGTTATGCAGCCTTCAAGACTACAAGAAATGCTGCGTATGTTGTAAGCGTTGAGGAAGTAATCAAATGCTTAATGAATTATGAGGCTTGATTATAAGCATTAACCTTCACGTTTCAAAATTTTCACAATATAGCTTCTAAGGAGCAGCTTTAAGTAAGTAAGTAAGTAAGTAAGTAAGTAAAGGTATCCCTGTAACAGTCCGTGGAGGCCAATAGGGTTGTAAGATGTTGAGGTTCCCACATTTTCTCTAGTCGATCGGCTCATAGATGGTGGTAAGGTTGTCAGTCCTACGCGCCGGCAGCGCTTTACCCCCAAGAATATTTCAAGAATATTCCTGGTACTCATTTCTGTTAGAGGCTGAGTCGACCCCAGGGCCATAGTGCGGCTGGAAGAATTAGGTCAATTGAAAAAACATCCAATGACCTCATCGGAACTTGAATCCGCGACCTTCCGATTTGTAGCACAGTGCCTCAAACAACTACACTACCGCGTGCCACCAAGACTCCGGTCTAGAAAACCGAAATTAACGGCCGTGGGGATTGGCTACGCTGACCACGCGACACCCTCTATCCGCTAAAGTTGGCACTAACTTCGCCGACAAGCGGCAGTTGCTCGGTCGGTATAGTTCGCTTGCGGACTAAAACCACGGAGTTAAAAGTTAAGTGCATTAGTAAGGAAACCTAAGCTAGTAAGCTGACCCTTGCCTCTCAATAACATATCAGCTCGTAAAGATACCTAAGCGACCTGCAAAGCCTCATAAGTCATACCAATAGCTATTTACATTGTTTGCAGATGACTCTCGTACAACCAGGCCCAGAGATGCAGGCACTCATCAGGAAGGAGTTGAACGAGAATGTGAACACGAGACAACAAGACTTGACACACGTCAAAGAATGGCTCGCAAAACAGCCTCACCTACCACAATTTGAAGGTGCGTAGTACCGATATATGGCAGAGGACTGTGAGGCCCGTTGCCTCATCCCCACCCCCACGGCGTCTGTTCGCCTAAGATAGGTTGTATTCTTTTCACCCGCAGCTGCATGTGTGTATGTGTTGGTATGTTCACCTAACCAACCAAGACAGCAAGCCAGAGGTCACATCCTGATACACTTACTGTCCAGTGGAAGCGGTTCGAAAGAAAACCTCGATCGCTTGGTTCGTGTATATATCCTTGCTGTTTCATCAGGCTTAAGGCCACCAGTGAGTTTTCCTTAATGGCCTACGTAATTGATGATGGCCTTGCTAGAGAACAATTCCTAAAGGGTTTATCGAATGGTATAAACGGTATAATGGTATAATGGTATAACCCCCGGTATAAGCGGTAGGGACGTGAAGCTGACCATTCACCTCCAAGCAGTGCCGAGTTCAAGAGAATATGGATCTATACATCCACTCCCCCATACGCCTTCATGGTGTAGTTAAGCACAAGGACAACTTTACCTTTAAAGGGTTTATATATGTACAAAATTAGAAGTGATATGAGAAGAATCTTAACAAAATTAATTTAAACCTTACTAGTGGAATATACAGATAAACATATGTTTCGTTTTCCTCATGAAGTACGGGAGGATAGGCTGAAGGGCGATGGCACACCAAAGAAACTGGCAACTGCAAGGCAACAGCAAATTCCGATAAAAGTTGCCGATTTCAAGCAAGAAACTGGTTTCCAGATTACCAGGCGCACACTAAATATTGGGATGTTAACTAATTTAGTTTAATTTAGGTCAATTTGTTTTAATTAGGAAATGTCGCAACAGTTTTAGCAAGATAGAAGACACCTGATGATGGCCATACGCAGCCGAACCCTGTAGTATGAAAGAAGGCTTACTATAAAATAAGCTGCATTTAAGGCGGAAATATACGTGAAATAAATGATATATTAATGCAGCAGGATGCTTAAATACAATATTAGGAAAAGAAAACATTGGGCACATCCGCTCTTCTGTGACAGTTTAAATTCAGGTGCTTATATTACACGTATATCGAAAGGACTTGACCAGGATCCAGCCTCATGAGAAATTATAGAAGAGCTGACACTAGAAAACCAGGCGGCAACGCAACTATGAGAAGACTGGCGTGCTCCATTGCCAGGAAGTTGAATTTCTCAGTCTTCTCGCGAGTTGCGTTGCCGTTTCTTCAATTTGCACTGCTCCATTCAGTAACACGTGTTCAGCTCAGGCTGATAACAATTCTCATAAATCGCTGTTGCTTTGCGGTTGCCCTTTCCCTTGCTGTGCCCTCACCAAAGTAATGTTCGCTTTGATCTAGTTTAGAGACACCGTGTTCTTGTTTGTGCATGCTGCAGATGATCAGCGCATCATGACTTTCCTTCGCGGCTGCAAGTTTTCCCTGGAGAAGGTAAAGCGAAAGCTTGATATGTACTTCACCATGAGGGCAGCAGTTCCTGAATTCTTCAACGATCGTGACGTCACGAGGCCAGAGCTGAAGGAAATCCTTGATGTTGTGTGAGTATCAGGAGTACTAACGATCCTGTATCAACTGCAAAGATTTTTTCGTAACGAATGAGATGAAAGGGTCAAGGAAGAAGCATCTGTGGTAACTTTTAAGATATGGACCCTAAGGTTCACAGAGAAGGAAATTAACTCAGCACAATTGAAGGACCAGTCCATGGATAAGGATAAAACATTCCTCGTGTATATGCACCATGACATTGAGTCTAACGAGAATAGTTCTAAATTTGGGGAGTCGATGGATGTGGGCTGTCAGCTTGAAGCTTGCGACAGTTTACCCAGAGATGCGGGAGGCTCAGGAAGTTCTAGAGTCAGCTTTGAAGGGGCAGAGAATGAAACTTATTCCCCTGCAGGGAATCATACCCAAGACCAATTTTGTGATTAATGCATCCAGACTTTTGAATATTTTCCGTATTTTGTTAATACAAACTTAGCATATGATATGACGGCATACATTTGTAAAAATCTTGAGTTAAAAGTTGTAGTCGCCGTTCTTCGTATCATAGGATCAAATGTCCGTTTTTAAAACTCTAATTTCTTTCTTCTCTCAGAACTTAAACTGTTAAATATTGAGTCTATACACATATAGACGGCATGATACATTTTTCATAGAAATAGTGCCTACATTTGTCAAAGAAAATTATAAATAAGGGAAGTCCGTGTAATTTGGACCACCTAATTTGACTGCATTTGGCGGCTGATCGATGTATCTTCCGGAACTACGTAACTAAGTAGCAGCCACCACGCAACAGTATTTCTTGAGAAGCTGGCAATCACTCGGCTGGTCAGGAAATAGAACCCGAAAACTGATTGTATAGATGTTATCCGAACCATTTGAATCCAGCCTCCACATCCACATTTTTGCTTTTGAAAATAATCCTGTGTCTTCCAAGTGGTCTCCTCCCCTCAATTTTTCTGAATAAAATTTTATATAGGATTCTTCATCTCCTGTGTTGGTTACATGTCTCGAACATCTCATGTTACTCCATTTTATCTCTCTGAACAATGGTGACACTTAAAATTAATGAAGATCCTTAGTATGTAACTTTCTTCATCAATCATTACTGCTTCCTATTTCTTAGGTCCGAACACTGAGTGTTCTTCCTCTAGAGCTAAAGACAACGTTGCGCCCGCGCCCACACATGCGCGTGCGCAGATTAAGCAGTCACGTGTATTTGATTTTTTAAATTTTTAGATAGAGGCGGGAACATTCTGAACTGTGAGATTTGTTCGTTAACAGAACAGTCGTTAAAACAAAAATAAAACCCTCAATATGTTCCTACACACAGGAACAAAATCAGAACTAATGACGTTCCTGGGGCCCCCAAACTTACAGGCATATCCCGCCGCTGCCGGGGCTCACCCCCAGTGGGCGGCGCGTTGTCGTGTTGCGGGCCCGCAAAGATGACATCCTGTTGAAGTGCAACGTGTGGGAAGGCGCGAAGCTTATTCTCATGATTGGCGACATAAGGCTCAAGGAGGAAGAGGTCGGCGTTGCGGGAGATGTGTACGTTCTGGACGCCTCCATAGCCACTCCTGCACTCTTAACCAAGTTCAGCCCCTCACTCATCAAGAAGTTTCTTGTCTGCGTCCAGGTCAGTGACATGATCTAATGTTCTAAGTGCGCGTTAGTGAAAATACTGCGCTGCAGACTCAAGCCGCTTGAGCCAGTGCGACAACAATGCGCTCAAGACACCAGATTCTGGGACACACCGGTGGGCGTAGTCTTAGACGTTTAGTTATAGTAGTAGGAGTAGTTTAAGTCAGAAGAGAAATGTTCTTTAGTCTCGGACCTGTTGCACTGTTAGAACGTAAAAAGAAAATGTTATGAACTGTCTGCACAAAGAGGTCGTCTGTCCGGACGCCTCATCACCCTAAACTACACTCAAGGATATTCATTGAATGTGTTGATAAGAGGCCACATCTGTGGTCTAGTGGTCAGAGTTCCTGGCTACAGATCCAGAGGTCCAGGTTCGATTCCCAGCGCTACCAGATTTTCTGAGAAGTTGTGGGTCTGGAACGGGGTACACTCAGCCTCGTGAGGATAACTCAGGAGCTATTTCAAGGAAGTAGCGGCTACGGTCTAGAAAACCGAGATTAACGGCCGTGGGGATTCTTTGAGCTGACCACGCGACACCCTCTATCCGCTAAAGTTGGCACTAACTTTGCCGACAAGCGGCGGTCGCTCGGTCGGTATAGTTCGCTTGCGGACTAAAACCACAGAGTCTGTTTTTGTGTTTGTTTATGGAAAACAAGTAATTGAGTGTGCAGTAAATTTGTAAATTTGTACCTGCTCTTAATTAAGCACCATGCCATGAAGATATAAGGTGGAGTGGAAGCATAACTCCATCATTCTTGACCTAGGCACTTTATGGAGGTCAATGGTCAAGTTCACGTTCCGTCCGTTTTACCCCAGTTGAAGTCTTCCTGCTTACCCATTTTATAGGAGACTGGGTGGACCCCAAAGACTGTCTGGATGCTGTGAGGAAGACGAGATCTCTGATATTAGAACAAAAATTCTGAAGACTTCAAGCAACATAAAGGCATGCCAATGGAATTGAACTAGAGCCAGTTCAGTTCAGCACATTTTATAAAAATCAACTTCGTTAAGACTTTTTTTCTAATCGGTCTAAAGATCAACGTGATCGGTGTTAAAGGGATTCCTTACCAGAATTCTGTGTGGATTAATTATTTCATGTATTCTCACGGTTTTCGCAGCCCAGGCAATTAATTCTTCGTTATTTTTTATTTATTTTTTTCCTTGGCACTACAGCCGCAGTGGGCCTAAGCCTCCCTCCATGAACTTCTACGTTCACTTCGGTTTTTCTAGATCTTACACATACGGTAGGACTCCTTGGGCGGGTGATCAGCTCGTCGCAAGGCCTCTATCTGTACACAAACACAGAAAAACGCACACACACACACACAAACTAAACATCCATGCCCTGAGTGGTATTCGAACCCACGATCCCGGTTTCCAACGAGCGAAGACAGTGCATGCCTTAGACCGCTTGGCTACCGTGACCGGCTCTTCGTTAATTAATATCTTAAAAAACTAATTTCAGTGAAGTTATGCTAATAACGTGTTCTAGATGTTAACCTTGAGAGTACAGAACAACAGAACTGTTACGTCAACTGGCAATTTAAAATAATTTGTATTTTTCATCTTTTTATTTTTTAGGATAGTTGAAGTAGTTTCACTTCTCAATTCGCCATCATTTTTTCAATAAAATATGATTTGCGTAGTTATTTATCTGTGCCAATCACATGGCTTAGATGTCGGAGGCTGATCTAAAAACTAAGATGCACTCAGTAGAGAAACATAATATCTAATTTCAGCGAAATATCCATTTGGATACTAATTGAAAAGAATGAAACCGCAGATCAGTTGGCAAGAACAGGATCTGAACAGCCGTTCGTAAGAGCTGAACCAGCTTGCGGCATCTCAGTAGGAGAGTATTGTAGGGAATGAAACCGCAGATCAGCTGGCAAGAACAGGATCTGAACCAGCTTGCGGCATCTCAGTAGGAGAGTATTGTAGGGAATGAAACCGCAGATCAGCTGGCAAGAACAGGATCTGAACCAGCTTGCGGCATCTCAGTAGGAGAGTATTGCAGGGAGTGAAACCGCAGATCAGCTGGCAAGAACACGATCTGTACAGCCGTTCACAGGACCTGAACCAGCATGTGGCATCTCAGTATGAGTAGCCAAAAAAAGCGATCAGGGACTGGACTAACAGAAATAACAAAAAACACTGGGAATCCACAATTTGATTCAGACAGGCAAAGGGATTTAAAGCAGGATCCTCTGTCAGAAGAACGAAGGATCTGTTGCGGTTAAACAGAGATCAACTAAGATGGGTGGTAGGATTACTTACCGGACACTGCCACCTGAAAAGACACCTTTTCAAGTATGGACTGACAGAAAACCCAACCTGTGAAAGGTGCCTATAGGAAACGAATCAGCCGCACACATCCTGTGTGATTGTGAGGCCATAGCTTATTTAAGATTTCGTCACTTGGGTCAGTTTTTTATGGAACCAAGTGACTTTTATGACGCCCCCATAAGCAGGGTCCTACTCTTTATTAAAAGTGTAGGATTAATAAAGGGTTAATCCAAGGGGAAGCACAATAGATCATGGAAGGTCGCAGTGCGGGAACCGATTTTATGGCCCACCCCTTACCTACTTACATGCATATAATTGAAAAGTACGAAAACTTCCAATTTATAGCTATGGTTTTAACATATGTCCCTACCACTGACCTACTATAGTAGTTTATAAGTATTAAGAGATATCACAAAATAACGAATTGACTGAAAATGCACCCTGTGTGATATTTTTCGGCAAAATTACTGCCGTTTTTTACTGCCATATTCTGGTCCTATTTGTTAATATTACCCTTCGTAACACACATACACAGTCAATCTCATATTAATTATCCCACAGTATTGAATGGCGAAATACAGATCCCTAAAATTGAAGAAAGTACTAAAACAACATCATGCAGTACTGACGGGTGCTACAGTATTCAGTAAGATACATGTACTGAACTTAAGGGGCATAAATGTTTTCAGATTCTCCGTGTCATTACAGGCCTATGATACCAGGTCATTAGTGAATAGGGCAAAACTATCTTTATCCTTAAATACCGCAGCATTAAGCAATGGAACGAAAGCTCAACATATGCGTAACCTCGGCACTAGACTCAAGTGGGTGCTGTTTTCGTTTCAGAAATGAGCATCCAGTACAGACTGGACAGGATCCTGGGAAGGTGGGGACATTCCAACAGTAACCCACCAATAATAAACTCAGTTCTATGTCCCAGGCAGAAAAATAGTAGAAATAATTAACAATTTATAGGGGCAACAGGTAATTACTTACTTACTTATGGAGCTGAGCCTTTTTTGAGGAGAAGCCAAATCTGCAGCTCCTCAAGAATTTCCCAGCATTTTATGGAACCAGAAGGTTCATTATTGTGTTCACAAGAGCCCTCCACCCGTCCCTATCCTGAGCTAGATCAATCCAATTAATACCATCCCATCTTATCTCTATAAGCTCAATTTTAATATTGTCCATCCGCATTCATATTCGTCTTCCTAGTGGTCTCTTTCCTTCAGGCTTTCCCACCATTATCCTATATGCATTCCTCTTCTTCCCCATTCGTGCTACATGCCCTACCCACTTCATCCTTCTTGACTTGATCATTCTAATGATATTATCCAAAACATGAACAATTCGTAAATGGTGATCTTCTATTGCTGCGAATTCATACAGTCTATTTAGAAAGAGGCATACAGACCACAGGAACTGTGAACTGTTATAACAGTAACATGCGGGAGAGACGTTTGTTCACTTAGGTTCCTTAAGAACGTTTTGAAATTTGGGGCACTTCACCTCCTGAAAAGGTCCCCTAGTATTGTTCGGATAGGAGGTCTATATGGATGAGGTGACGAACAGAAAAAAATGTCCTTCACCTCTCCAAAATCGAAGTCGAGGTTAACGCCATAGTCCCCATCACAGGATAAACTGACCTACCCGACCCAGAAACATACTGAATACCTTGTGTCCCTTGTCACGCCCTGCTTAGCATAAAGCCAAAGCCGTATCTGAAAAAGAAATCTTAGTAGACTGACAATTAACATCTCAGAAGTAAGTGTTACTTCCACTGGATATTATGAAATACTGAACCATCATAATACGACCATGAGTAACGTTTAAAAACGCTGTTCTAGTTTTTCAGGTTTCTCTAAACGAAAGGTGAGCACGTTTCTGGGTTTTAACTTAATTAAATAACGTGGCCAATATGTTATTGCATTTAGTAGACAGAACTTCAAATTATTATGCTTATAGCTCCAGTTACTTGTTTATGTAGATACGTCCGCTGGCTGGATATCTTATGGAAGATATGTATGTCATACTCGTACAAACATTATTTATAGCTGTATCTGGGTACACAATTTAGCGCCGGAATTTCTGAATGTGTATTCTAAAAATTCTAAAATAATCCAAAAAATAGAATATACAAAACTATAATTTTGCCTGTGGTTCTGTATGTGTGTGAAACTTGGTCTCTGACAATAATTTAGCCATCTTAAACAGAAATATCATGAAAAAGGACATACGGACTGCACTAGAGGCTAATAAAGGAAGTGATCTATTATCTAATGCAGTGAGAATTAAGTGAATATTCGTGTTTCGTTGTCAATTTGCAGGAAACAAAATAAAGCTAAAAACATTTCGATAATAGGATCCCATTCAAGTAATTGACTTGGTAACAACAGTGGAGAACAAATTACGCTCAAGAAGTTAGCGGTATGCCAAATTCGGGGAGCATTTGCTATCTTATAGTTTACAAATTTCTATCTTCCAGAAGAATGTGATATTCTGGTTGTAACATGTTACAGTTCGGTACAAGTCCGCCGATAATTAGGAGGAACATATGGCTTCTAGCTTCAGGGTCGAAGATTAAGTCAAGGAAGAAAGCAGCAAGGAGAAGGTGCCAAACAGAGCGAGCCGCAGTTTTATCTTCCCTTCTCCTGCCAAGAAACCTACAGATTAAAATGTACATAACCATAAATTTACTTCCAATCGGTGTGAGAGTTTGTTTCGTATCCTGTGGCACTACTAAGGACTTAACGTTGCGGTGGATATTTGGACCTAACAGAGAATATATGACAGGAGAATGGAGGAAACTGCATAATATTATTAATCACTCACTCACTCATGGAACTGAGCCCTTCTTGAGAAGCCGCAAATTGTGTAGATACTCAAGAATTTCATGAAATCCGAAAGTTCATTACTGTGTTCACAAGAGCCCTCCACTGGTCCCAATCCTAAGCCAGATCGATCCAATCCAATCTCTCTAAGATCCATTTTCATATTGTACACCCACCTAAGCCTTGGTCTTCCCAGTGGTCTCTTTCCTTCTGGCTTTCCCACCAATATTCTATATGCATTCCTCTTCTCCCCCATTCGTGCTACATGTCCTGTCCAGCTCATCCTCCTTGACTTGGCAATTCTAATTATACTTGGAGAAGAGTACAAGTTATGATGCTCCTCATTATGCAGTTTTATATTATATAATATTATATTATTGATTATTTATTAATTTAGTAACTATTAATAAGAACTTCACAATCTAAACTCTTCGCCAAATACTATTACAGTTATCGGCACAAGAAGGGTGTGAGGTGCGAAATTAGAAACTTATGTAAAGTTTCAGGAAAGCTCCGAGGAAACAACCGAACTGGGATACCTTGGGGTATATGGAACTGTAATATCGACGCGGTTTGTAGTTATATGAGATGAGAGAGAGTGGATACGTTTCAATGGTCTCAGAGAAGGGTCCAGTGGCGGATTGTTCTGAACTTGGATGGGATACTTCGGTTTCCAAAAAAAAAGAAAAAGCGAGAAATTTCTTGATCCTCTGATCTTGTCAAGAAGGACCCTACTTCCATGGGGTTATTTTGTCACTACAAGTAATTTATCAATAACTAGTCTTCACAGAATATAAATAAAATGTGAGTGACATTAAACCTACAAACTTTGATACCTAGAAGAGTTTTTTTATGAAAGTCGTGTAGATGGCTCTGTTTTCATACTTCTTGTTCTACCTCCAAACTATTCTGGCGTCCTAAAACATCTCTCTGTTGTTCAGGAGGCGTACCCAGTGAAACTGAAGGAGGTTCATGTAGTGAACGTGTCTCCTATTGTGGATACCATCGTCAACTTTGTGAAGCCGTTCCTGAAGGAAAAGACACGGAACAGGGTAACATAATACACAAATGTGCATAAGAGTAACATTTCTTTCTACCTCGATCATAATACTTAACCGAATTAGTTGATTCTGGGTATCCATTTGTGTTTATTCGACTGTCTGTTTGCGCAGGTATATATGACAGAAGGTATTTTAATTAATTTTACTCAGAAGAATGCCGTTTTCTGGGATATGGCGCCGTGTAGATCTTGTGTTCCTCCGAAACGTCGGTTTACACAAGATCTACACACACACAAGCTTTTCCACAGACAAATATCACGATTCTAGTGCTACATGTTTCATTAACGAGAGCGCTAAAATAATTCATTTCACATCAAATTTTCGAACAGGCTTGTGTACAGGTCAGCTCAATGCTTCTGTTCGGGTGACACTTGGATTCGAGTCTGGCCTGGGACACCGGATATCTCGAGTGAGGTTTTTCGTCCCCCTGCTAGATACTCCGTAAAACAGAGTTAAACCACCAATTAGCTAACATGGTGAACATCTAAAATGTCATAAAATAGTCTGAATAAGAACTACAGAATAACTTTCTGAATAAATCTATGATTGTTATTCTCTGTACGAAAATGCAAGCACTTCTACTGAAAGGAGGAGCATACACATCTGGCAACACAGAGTTATTATTATTATTAGAGGGGGTGGGTTTCCCCATGCACTTAGACCAGTTATTGGTCCATTGTGCGTCCCCCTTTAATTTCTACTGTCGCCATACCCTACCGGTACCGGTTCGTGCTATCAGCCCCGTTCAGCCAACGAGGTCGGCCCTCGGTACCTGATATTTCCCCCATCTACCAGAGGCATTGGAAACTACTTGGGCGGGAAAAGTGTTGCCTAATTTTGCTCAGAGGTCTCTTAGAGACATGAGGATCTTTTACGTGCCGTAAATCTACGACACGGGACCCACGGCTTAAAGTCCCTCCCGGAGGACTTGTTCCCTGAATTTTTCCGCCCTTAAAATTTCCACGACCTCCGCCGGGTTTAAACCCGCGTACCTTGAGTCATGAGGTGGGAACGTTACCCCTAGACTACGGAGGCCGCTCAACACAGAGTTAATAAAGTAGATGCTGGAGATGAACAAATTGATGCATTATTTCAATTAAATATTTGTTTTCATTCACCCGTAAATGCATCGAAAATAATCATGATCCCTGACCTTGTACTGCATGTTTCAAAAAGAAATGTGTTTTATAAAACTATTAATGCGAGGAAGGTACATTTTACTGGTAGTTTATAAAGCTATTTCTTATATAATACTTAAAATAATTTGAACGTTAAGCCACTTTTGTACTCAAGGCAGCGGCAGCCCATGTACTGAAATATCACAATGCGTGACGCATACAGAAGAAAATTTTCTTATGAACTCGGCATTCATCGTATCAAGACGAAAGTAAACCATGCAGGACTAAGTAACTGAATATATAGAGGCCTACAGGCATGTATAGTTTACACAGAACACCCCCATATGCTGTTGTGCTTCCTATACTACAAACGTGGCCCAGAGATTGCCGCCAGAAATTCCGTTTCTTGAAAACAAGTTGATTTTCAGTTTTTAAAAGCCGATTAAAAAATACAATACAAAAATCCAATGTAAGGGGGTGTTTTTAAGAGTAAAAGGTTCAGGCAGAGTATTCATTATATTATTTACGTGAATCAGTTTATTGTTATCCGGTTTGGAATTCAAAGCTATATAAAATATGATGGAGAGAAAGAATTGTAAAATTTGAATAATTAACTTATTTGTAGTTACACTTTTACAAAATTTCAACAGTTCATTATATTTGCTTCCGGTCTAGTAAAACGAGAACGGCCGTGGAGATCCGTTGCGCTGACAACGCGACACCCTCTATCCGCTATAGCTGGCACTAATTTCGCCGACAAGCGGCGGTCACTCTGTCGGTATAGTTCGCTTGCGGACTACAGACCACGGATTTTTTTATTATATTTGCTTCGAAAAGAAGGAATATCGAAGCAGAGGGCGTTAATATCTTCTACGTAACCCATTGTCACAATGCTACAAATCGTTAAGGCTCCAATATCACTGAACGTCTGAATATTTTACAGATATATATGCACACGGGACTGGAATCGCTTTACAAGTACGTCCCCAAGGAAGTGTTGCCAGAGGAATACGGAGGTTACGCAGGTACATTAGACGTCTTTCACGGTGAGTTGAGAAGCCTACTGTTGTCAATTCGTCAGCTTAATAAAATAAATTGTTCACGTACAGACAATTGCGTGTATGTGAGTAACGATCTAATATAATTCGTATAACTTAATGTTTCTTTCATTTGCAAGCAACTGAATATGCACACAAATAGTAAATTAAAAAACAATAAGAAGAGAGAAGAATTGTTGTCCTAGTTTAATGAAAATTTCAGCTTTTTTAGGCTATTTTCCTAAAAGAGACATGCGATTTCCGTGCTGTTTATGTGTTTGTGAATGCCCATTCATATTAACTTCTGAATGAAACAATCGCCCATGTAACTTGGTATGTACATCATGGCGCCTGAGCCCATCTCAACGGCGTACTTCATAAATTCCTCCTAATAGTCTGTGCGTCTGTATGTGTATCCCTCTCTCTGATCCCCAGCAAAACATTCCCACGGCAACGAATATCTGTTGGAGACGTAATTTCTTATGCGATCCATATCGTATCAAAGGAAAGTAGGCAATTAGTTATTCCCAGAACATTTTTTATTAAAATGGAGTAATTTATACTGCACTTTATTCGTATTAGCGTAAGTAATTATTGGCTAATACAATCTATAGACTCAAACCACTGGTTAAAACATACTGAACCATACCCATCTACCTCTCATGCTCATTGTGTTTTTCTCCATGACCCATGTTTAATGTGAATATTTACATATTATCAGCCCTTCAAGGGTTTCATAGGGGCACGCGGTAGCGTAGTTGGTTGAAGCACTATGCTACAAGCTGGAAGGTCGCGGGTACTAATCCCGATGAAGTGGATTTTTCAGTTTACCTAATCCTTCCAGCCGCACTATATCCCTGGGTTCAATTCAGTCTCTAACAGAAATGAGTACCAGGAATATTCCTGGGGGTAAAGGGCGGCCGGCGAGTAAGGCTTACAACCGCCATCTACGAGCCGATTGTCTAGAAAATGTGAGAACCTCAACAACCCTATGGGCCTCCACGGCCTGTTACAGGGACACTTTTACTTACTTTACTCAAGGGTTTCATTATAAAATATTCGAGCTCCATTTCGCGCCAACTGTGCTGCCAGTAGTAGCTTGACTTAACCGCCATAAAATTCCGGAACTCCTTTATTATTGGCCTACATTAATTTGCGACGCACGTACACCTGTTCATTTTGTACAGCGTTGAATGTTAAGTGATTCTGTGAATGATGAATTGGAAAGGATCTGGCAAGAGTTGATTGTGGCCTATCTTGATGTACTTTCACGGTAATGCTGAGCGTCTGTTCGCAGATCAATGGGTGAAGAAGATGGAGAGCTACCGAGGCTGGTTCAAAGAGCAGGAGTCAGTTAAGGCGGACGAGTCAAGGAGACCGGGAAAGCCAAAAACGCAGGATGACCTGTTCGGCTTGCAGGGCTCCTTCAGACAGCTGATTATCGACTGAGCTGCCGAAGCTACTGGAATAACACGATAATCTTACATACAAGTACAAGACAATATATGTTAAGGAAATTGGTCATCTTCAACTGGGAGAAACAACAAACTGAGCACAGGGAGTAAAGGAAGTTCCATTATCGACTTATATAAAATTAATTATTTAGGTTATGTACTGTAATGTTTGGGAGTGAAATGTAAGAGAAATTCATATGAAATTTGGAATTTACCCGGTGCTGAAATTTTTGATTATAGTCTACTGGGTTACCACAGAGTAGTATCCAACTGCGATGCTACACACTGCCACATCCCAGACGATAACAAAAAATAAAACTAACTCATATGGGGTATGGCCAGCTCAAGAAATAACTGCGCGCGATTCACTCACCGTTTAAGTCCCGTTCTCAGGAGCTACGTTATCAACCCAAAACTTCCTTACACTTTTACGAAATGTTAATAGGCAACGCTTGAGACTGAGTCTCTTCTTCACTTGAGTCAAATTTCTTAAAACTCCAATTAAACGTGCCCATTACGTCTTTATTTACAAAGTAACAGTACCTTCTGGCCCCATATCATTTCCAAGACCTACTTAGTATAGGCGATATGAAACACTCCATCAATGAATGACTTTGACGATACTCCAGCGAAAAAAGTTCTTAATTAATTTCCAGTACTGATAACAATTTGGAGGAACCGGGATAGCATAGTCAGTATGGCGAGTGTCTACGGGCTGGATGACAGAGTGGTTGGCGTTCGGGTCCCGGTAAGATCAAAAATTTCCTCTTCTGAACGTCGTCCGTACCGGCTCTGGGGTCTGCCCAACCTCCTAACCAATGGGTACCGGGAGCTCTTTCCCCGGGGGGAAAGCGGGTGAGACGTGAAACTGACTACTCGCCTCCAACTTGTGTCGAGGTCAAGAAAATGTGAATCTATACATCCACTCCGCCATACCCCTTCATGGCTTAGTGCTTAATTAGTTAAACGCAGGGATAACTTCACTTTTACTGACAACAATTTTGTTCAGTATGAGTGTACGCAATTTTTTCTGTTAGGTTCTATATTTATGCTGCACAATTGATCCATTTTGCCTTAGGTGTACCACTAAGAAAAGAGCGAAGATACATGGCCTTATTAGATAATATGGTTCTCTCAGGGACTATACTTATACGTTTTATCCCAGTGGAGTAGGGATATGCTCTTGTGGAGACACCTTCATAAAGCGACTTACCAGCAAACAGAACCAACTAGCCGGCGTAGCTCAGTCAGTATGGTAACTAGATTAAGGAATAGACAGCCGAGGAATTGTGATAAAATTACAAATGTGGAAAGAGATTTTTCTTTGCAACGTAGTGACCAGACTGGATCTGACGCTCACTGAAAGGGCATGACAAATATACATATTTCTGAAGAATTTCGTCTTCTGGGATATGGCGCCGTGTAGATTTTTTGTAAACCGGCGTTTCGGAAGAACGTATCGCCTCCATCTTCAGGATAGAAAAATTCGCTTGCGAGGAACCAGCGTGAGCAGGTGGATGCAGTCTGAACGTTGGTTCCTCGCTAGCGGATTTTTCTATCCTGAAGATGGAGGCGATACGTTCTTCCCAAACGTCGGTTCACAGAAGATCTACACGGCGCCAGATCCCATAAGACGGCATTCTTCATAGTCAACCGCCATGAAAACCTTAAATCTTACATACATATTTCTGTTTCCAAATTCATGAAATTGTTGTACTTAGAATGTGGGCGGGGTAGAGGTTCCGGATGCACTTGGCTTGGTCATCTGTATGATGAAATCTGTTACATCCTGACGAAATAGCAGCTCATAACTCTATAAAATAATAATAATAATATTCTCAGTTTGCTCCGTAGGTGATCTCGGTGTGATGGCAAACATAAATATTCTAAATGCTTCTGCGGGTGACATAACGGAAACTACCCCGTTCCTAAAGGGTTACTTCACTCACTGAGCTACCGCTGTGTTCTGTTGAGATAAGTTTAAAAAATGAGAATAAAAGGGTATAAATAAATCATATTCAATTTCATTTATTTTTTTTTCACACACCAATTAAGGTCGCTGTCCTGCTGTATGATAATCAACACATATTATAATTCTGATATATATACGCTTGTAAATGCAGTGTTCTACTTACATTATATGCAGCAAACAGGCGTAGCGGATAAAAAAAAAAGCATTGCAATAAAAACGTGAACCTGCCTTATTTATAAATGTGTATTCTTGGAGAAAGTATACTCATTGCTAGGGTCAGATGTAGTTATAAGTTTATACACGTAGTGGTAGTTAGGAATAAATAACATAAAATTATTTTAATGGTTTTGACACTACTTTTACTAATCCAGACATGTAATAATATTCCATGTCCATTCAGCTGATGTATTTACATTTAAAACCGTACAAATAAATATTTTTGAGCAAGATAATTCAAATGTTTTTGAATGCAAACAACATCCATTCCGTCCTTTAACCCCCCCCCCACAAAAAAAAAAAACAAATTCCGTGGTTTTAGTCCGCAAGCGAACTATACAGACCGGACGACCGCCGTTTGTCGTCAAAGTTAGTACCAACTTTAATGGATAGAGGGTGTAGCGTGGTCAGCGCAAGGAATCCCCACGGCCATTAATTTTCTGTTTTCTAGACCGGAGCCGTTACTTTTCCATTCAAGTAGCTCCTGAATTATCCTGATCGCCATTACACGCGAATTAATTAAATGCCAAGTGCAGTAGTCAAGTTTCCCTGGAAAGTAGGAATTTAGCTGACTCCATGCAATATAGTCCTAACTGAGAAGGTAATGCTGTCCTCTGTGATGTCGCGACGTAACAAAATCGTCTTATATTATAATATACATACATTTTTTTCCCTTGGCACTACAGCCCCAGTGGGCCTAGGCCTACCTCCATGAACTCCGTTCACTTCGGTTTTTCTAGATCTTACACATACGGTAGGACTCCTTGGGCGAGTGATCAGCTCGTCGCAAGGCCTCTACCTGTAGACAAACACAGAAAAACGCACACAAACATCCATGCGCTGAGTGGGATTCGAACCCACGATCCCAGCTTCCGAGCGGGCGAAGACAGTGCATGCCTCAGACCGCTCGGCTACCGTGACCGGCAGTGTATAAGAATAATATATAAGAATTCAGTTCGTACCTCACAGGAAACAGATCCAAACCCACTATCCCGGCTTCTGATTGAGCGAAGACAGTGCATGCTTTAGACCGCTCGGCTACCTAATATACATATATACATGGTATAAATTAAAATCACGAAGATAGAATGAAACATGTAGTGTTGAATCACGAGTTTCCCTTCCTGTTTAATTTGTGCAAACCTATCTGGAAAACTTAGCCCTTCTTTTCAAATATCTCTCTTCATTCAGAATCCATTTTGTTTACATCTTCGGACTGTATTTGTTTTATCTAGAAATTTAATTAAACATATATCACATATTTGAGAACTCCTCATAGTGTATAGGATGCGATCTAAGGTTCTCATATGGCAGTATCTATGAAGAGTTCCATTTTCTGGGATATAACGCCGTGTAGTCTGCTGAAATTCATCCGACGTTTCGGAGGAACATGTCACCTCCACCTATAGTGTCAAAGAATAAATCAAAGCAAGAAACCAAAATGAATCAGTCAGCAAGCAAAACCCTGCTACAAGTTCCTCCGGACCGTCGGTTGACTTTCACCGGACTGAGCGACTTTATAACCCGGAAAATAGAACTCCTTCACATCTAGTACTGGATACAAGCACTCTTACAGGGTGTGTAGGACTCCTCCGCACTCTCCGGTAGGGTTTCATGGCTTGGCGCTTGAACACAAGAACTTGCCGTCTTATGTTCTTTATAAATGGCAGCGAAATTGTGCATGCGATGAGGGTTATGTCTAGTAGTGACGTAAATTTTAATTTACGACACATTAGCATAGCACGTAAAGAACCAATATCAGTATGATCCGACAGTAGTCTACATCAGGGATTGGCAATCGGCTACCTTCACGTGGCCCGCGGATAATTTTTGTTACGCCCATGTACGAATTTTAATGAACAAAAATGAAAAAAAAAAGTACACAGAAATATTCAGCGCTACACACAAAAAGAACTGTAAAACTGTAAGTATATAAAATGAAATTTAACAATACCCATCACAGTGACCACGCGGTCTGAGGCACGAGATGTCTTCGCCAGCGCAAACATTGAGATCGTGGGCTCGTGGAATGGCTGTCAATATGCGATTATTCTATACTTGTGCTTGTGTAGGTAGCGGCCTTGAGATGGGCTGATCTCCCGTTCAAATTGCCCTGCCAACAGCCTAAAAGATTCATAATTTCAAAATTAATTTTGAATGGGCACAGGCCAGACAGAAAAAAGTAAATGTAGTCATACAAATGTGATCTTTGTTTTACTATTTTTTATCTGCTAGTCTTGCGTCACGCGTTATGAAAGCGGAAGTCAAATGAGGGCTGCCAGTGCCAGAAGGGCTGCCAACCCCTGATCTAGAAGGCAAGTGTGACACAACGACTTTTGTTGAAATGATTAGCTTCAGACTGGCATGTATTTACGCAGTCGTATAAAGATGTTTCGGTATTGGAATGATGAACTCAAAGTAAATACAAGTTTATGTAACAACTCTACGCCAAATTTGTTAGAGAGACATTATGAATTAAATTTATTATACCCGTAATTACAATTTTTCGAAGCTAAGAAACTGTTTATATTTGAAAGCGACCTAAGGAAACAAGAACTTAATATTTCAAGGTTCTAACAAACTTTTACGTAACCTTTAGTCGATTTCAGACTGCAAAATTAAACATTGCCAACCAGCAGACTGAAAAGCCTTTCAGTACAGTACAGGTATTTGTACTGTCAAGTCGTGAAGGGCAAATACTATTATTATAATAAGAGTATTTGCCCTTCACGACTTGACAGTAATTACCAGAGACATGATACAGCGAAGTTGTTATGTCTTCCCGTTTACTAACCTACACTACTGACTTACACATTGTACGTCGTCTCATGTACACTGCACTGCAGATAAGGAACCCGTCATAACTCAGCTTCTGCCCTTAGCAATATTCTCTTGCAATAGCTTCAGCAACGGCAGATCACGGTGTCCGTGCGGTCTAAAGCATGAACTGTCTCCATTCACTTGAACAGTGGAATCGTGGGTTCGAATCCCACTGAAGCATGGATGTCTCTTTACGTTTATTCTATGTTTGTATTGTTCTGTGTGTAGATAGTGGCCTTGCAACGGACTGATCCCCGTCCAAGGAGTCCTACCGACTACACGAAATCACATAAATGAATTAATTTTGTGCATAGTTTCATATCGTGTAGAGTTTCATTTTCTCGGACTTGTCACATATAGCCTCTTAATTTCGCATAGCCGCCATATTTCTCTTTCTAACTAGCAAAAGTTTTCATAGAGAATGCAGACGTATGTTTACGTATAATTTATGCATTGATAATAATGAAGAGAGACTAACATATATACCTGTGTGTGTATGTGTATATAAGGATAAAGGTTCTTCCCCAAATAAAAAGGTAAAGTTGTCCCTATGCTTAAGTAATTAATCACTACGCCACGAAGGTGTATGGGGAATGTAGATGTATAGATCCATATATAATTGACCTCGGCACCAGTTGGAGGTGAGTGGTCTACTTCACTCCCCGGTCGATTTACCCCCGAGGAAAGAGCCCACGTTGCCCAGTGGATAAGTAGCTGGTTGCGCCCCAGAACCGGTCTGGATGACGTTGCGAGGAGAAAATTCTCGTTCCTACAGGAACTCAACTCCGAACCCTCAGCCGTCCAGCCCGTAGCCAGTCTCTATACCGATTGCGCTTGCGCCAAATATCTTTTATAAATTTAAAGTTAGTGTTACCTCACTTCTCGAAGAAACGTCACTTGCAATCCGTCACATAATAGCACTGTATCTAACATAATGCATTACGGATGAAGATGTCACAAAATGCGTTCGGAAATACCTGCTCTTCCCTGAAATCATACGAAAAATTTGAAAATGTGTGATTTCAGACTTCTGTGCTTTCATGTATGGAATTATGACGCGTGAAAATGGTTTACATTCTGACCAGTGCTGATGTCCATCTCAGAAGTAATTTAATCTTAACTTTTTGTTTCCAAATTCGCTGATTCCACAGCATAACTCTCGGGCATGTTTAGACGCATGCTACCGGCACAATTCTCGGTAGTACGAACTTCATGATCTCTGTGCAGGTACTGCCGCTGGGGCACGCATCAGACCTTCACACGCTAAGTGCTGAACTGGATGCAATAGCCCATAAAGACTTGAAGGAGGACCCGAACAGAATTCAAGAAGACTTAGAGCATATCAGAGATGGGCTGACCAAACAACCACACCTCATAGCCGGAACAGGTATTAACTGTTTAACGGCGAGATAAGAGCGAGAGGAAGAATATATACCACGTGTAACATAACAGTTGCAATGTTACAGTATGTGAAGCAAAGCTATCCCTGTAACAGGCCATGAAAGCCCATATGGTTGTGAGACGTCGAGGCTCCCACATTTTCTCTAGATATTCGGCTCACAGATGGCGTTAAGGTTGTCAAACTTAAGTGCAGACCGCCCTTTACCCCTTAGGAATATTCCTGATACTCATTTCTGTTAGAGGTTTAGTCGACCCCAGGGTCACAGTGCGGATAGAAGGATTAGGTCAATTGAAAAAATCCACCTCATCGGGACTTGTACCCGCCACCTTCCTGCTTGTAGCATAGTGCCCCAACCAACAAAAGATTAATAAATTGAGACACGTATTACAAGAACCCATAGGAAACAGCTGACTCAGTTAAGTCACTGAGGACGGATTCGTAAGGAATCCCGTTCAATACAATTCTACGCAGTTGGTCCGTGAAACTTGGCACTCGCTTCCCCTGAATACTTTCAGGAAGAATGTGTGGATCCTTACCTACATGAACTTTTATATCTTCTTGGGGCGTGTGTGTAAGCACAGATTTTAATGTTAGTTATTAAAAAAAAAAAGAAAAAACTACGGAGAACTGACCTTAAAAATTGACAGTCGCTCAGCAGGTCAATAAATTCCCTGACTTTTACGGATCCCCAAAGTTCACAATATTCCGACACTGAGTCACATTCCGAACAGTTAGATCCACTCCACATTCTGTTTGTTGAATATGTATTTTAATATCCTCCGCCAGGTCCCGTACGTCAATCGTCCTTTCAGGTTTTTTCGATCAAACTTTGCATGTATTTCTCGTCGTCCTCATACCGTATGCTTGTTCCTAAGACGTCAGTCTCTTTAACTTGCTCGCATTTATGTTAATGAAGAAGATTCAGTTCAAGTTTAGGTTGGTTATTTAACGACGCTGTCAGTATCGAGGGACCACCACTGTGGTCTAGAGGTCAGAGTTCCTGGCTACAGATCCAGAGGTCCCGGCTTTGATTCCCAGCACTACCAGATTTTCTGAGAAGTAATGATTCTGGAACGGGGTCCACTCAGCTTCGTGAGGATAATTGAGGAGCTATTTCAAGGAAATAACGGCTCGGCTCTAGAAAACCGAGATTAACGGCCGTGGGGAATCGTTGCGCTTACCAAGCAACACCGTCTATCTGCAAAAGTTGGCACTAACTTCACCGAAAAGCGGCGGTAGCTCGGTCGATATATTTCGCTTGCGGGATTGCAGCCCACGGAGTTTTTGCTTTTTTTTTTTTTTGTCAGTGTCGAGACTATATAGCCTATAATCATATGATGATTTGATGAATGTGGAGCAGCTGCTGAAAGGGGACTTCGCACGGAACACCGAAGAACTCAGAGAAACCGACTCTAGTGCCACTCCTGCAATGGGACGTGTTTGTTACATCCAGTCCTTCAGATGGAGACAGATGAAATATTGTGACGTACTTCATCGCTCAGCTTCCTCCGTCGCCCTCTTTCAGCCTCTCTCATACATCCCAAAGTGTCCGAGATTACTTGTTAATTTGATAATATTATAAAATGTGATATACGGTGTATTAATTACTATTCCAGACATCGTTATGTTATAACCTACTGCACTCTAAAAACACTGGCTCTATAATTTTGAAACCCATGTTCAACGGAGCAAGAATCCATAGATTTCTCCACTTTGCGTCAGACATAACCTCGGCAATGCAGATTCACAATGGTTGATGACAATGCTGCGTGGCTGTAAGTTCTCAATGGAGCGCGTCAGGACAAAGATGGACATGTTCTACACACTGAGGACGGTTCTACCTGAGTTCTTCACGTGCCGTGACCCATGTTGCCCGAACTCCAACGCATCCTCAAATTATGGTGAGAATTATTTTGATCGGTATCATCAAAATTGCCTTCCAAAATGATATCTGAAATTGGTTAAGAAGAAAATTACAGAATTAAGAGAACAATTCGTGCCTTTCCTGTACCGCTCCTGTGATGTTAAATACCGGGCGTTCAAAGGATTGGGATACAAGAACACATCAAGGATGCTGTGTGGACGTTTAGCTTGGGAAAACTCTTGGACAAATACTTTTCTTACTAATAACTTCTTGTACGGCCTATTGTAAATCCCTGGTTATAGAGTTTCTTCAATTCCCATATTATCATTTTAGAGTGCACTTCCTGTTGTGTGTTTTAAGCAAATGTCAAAGTAAGGTTTCCGTCAATACAGCAAACGTGACTATACATTCAATCAAATCTCAGATTGAATTTTATTTTCTAACCGATACTTGTTTCCGTCCTCATGGGGTCATCATCAGGCAGTAATTATGACCGAATGTCTGAAGTTATTTGAACTCCAAAATATGGATCCATATTTAGCACAACGTGTTCATATTACAAAATTAGGTCTAGATTAGAATATAGGAAATTACAATATTAACCTTATCAGATTTAAGATTATATACTTACAAAGAATTACATTACAATTGAATTAAAATACATTAAAAATTTTTACTTCTAATTTTTTGGAAGGTTGGTAAGATTTTTTATTGCGAAATAATGCCTTGAGAACGAAGTTGAAAATTATACAAGTAAAATCTAAAATATTAAATTTATTAGAACAATTACTAAGATTATGGGATATTATTGTGATGTCACTCGCGAAAGTGTGACGTGGAAGGCGCAACGGGAAGTAGGGGTCACGTGGACTCTGCGGTTTCGCGAGTGACCTCACATTATGTTAAAATTTCCTCATGTGTTTATAATTTTCGTGCTCGCTTCTGATCGAGAATCGATGTCACAAAGTTTTTCTTTAGTCAATACAAATTCTCTTAAGAATTTTATATTTGCCCGGCACCAGACCTGTAATTTTGTTACGATATTGTAAATTCTTGTTTTACACGACACTGTACTATCAGAATGCATCCTCATAAATTTTGTAGGGCACTTCCTTCGTAAAGAAAGCCGTACAAATATACCGCATATGAATACTTTCTGTTCAACATTATAATTCAATTTTTAACATCATATTTCACAACACTGAGAACTGTATTTCTGCGTATCTTAAGGACAACTAACCGGACTAAACATCAGTAACATCGCGATAAACTATCAGGCATGGACTGATTAAGCAACGTTTCGGCGGCAAACAGTTCGCCGGCTTTGCAAAATAAAATTTCTAATCGGGCAGTCTAAAAATAAATTGGATTTCCTGTGTGTGAATAGGACCTCTTTTACCTAAGAGAGAGGAAATAAAAATGTACCGAAGAAAGTTATAATATATTAAGGAGATTCATAATTCACACTCTACAGATATTCAGAAAATTATGGTGATTTGATAGAAGAGAACGAGACGGACGGGTTAACTAAGATTTATGTAGGAGATGAGAAATATATGCGAAATTTTGCTCAGAAAACCTGCAAGAAAGCGACATCTAGATGTGGACGGAAGGAGGCATTAACCCCTTCCAGTCCATATGTCTTTTAACTACATTTATAAAGGAAACGTACAGTACTGCTGTGAAAGAAACAAACATTATGGGAAAATTAAAATAAGAAATTGTGGTAGGTGAACAGGTTAGAAGGGATCAGTTTTTTGTGGGGTTCCATTTGCCACAATCAGTAAAATAATGCAATATAAGTAAAAGTAAGGTAAACTGATTTTAGTTATAGAGAGTGAAACCAGATCGCAGCATTGTATGAAACCATTTAGTAACAGCTGCTAATCAAAGTGAAAAACAAATATATTTCAACGGTGGTACCAACTGGATCCATTGCTCCAAAAAGAGTTAAAATGCAGAGTGTTCAGCCGTAGAGGAAAAATGACAGCAGCATAGAGCCGATGGAACGTTTCTCCGCGACCACCGTGCCCTTCCCCGCTAGCGGGAGTTCAGTCGTGTCGCTGATACCCTAACATCAGTTTCTGTACATGCACACATTTATAAGAATACTGTAAAAAGAGAACACAAACTTACCGTGCTTTATAATAGGTGCTGAAATGACGCTGCTGCCAGGTTTCCTCTATCATTGAACGCACTGTAGATAATCAAGCGGTATTAAAATAGATAGGTAAGAAATTGGATGTGATAACATCGCTGAATGTAACTGGCGTAGGTTAAGGATCAATATTGGACTCTTACAAAGGCTGTAAAAGCCTTCTGGTTCCAAAAAGAGCGGGGACACTGACATACAAATACGTTAATGTGCAGACTGCAGTTGCCACTGCCTGAGCCAGGCGATCGAGGGCGGCGCGTAATCCTCATGAGGATCGGCGTGCACAACCCTGACGAAGTGAAAACTGTGGACATATTCAAAGTGAATATGATGATTATTGACATCCTGGTTGAAGAGGACGACAGGTCCGTTGTATGCATCATAGTACTCATCATAGATCATTTCAATACGGCGCTCAAACACATGGCACAGTACAGCCCCGCATTTGCGAAGAAGACAATTACACTGTTGCAGGCACGAATCTGTATCTCTTTGATTCAACCATTTCTCAAGTTTCCAGTCACCTTTTCCTTCATTTCTGCTAAGCACTCAGTTTAAGAGACCGCCTATGTGGTATAAATGCCGGAGTTCCTGTCAAAAGATCCAGAGGTCCGGGTTCGATTCTCGGCGCTACCAGATTTTTCTGGGAAGTAGTGGGTCTGTAACCGGGTCCACTCAGCCTCTTGAGGATAATTGGGCAGCGATTTCAAGGAAAGAGCGGCTCCGGTCTAGCAAACCGAAATTAACGGCTGTGGGTATTTGTTGCGCTGAACACGCGACACCCTCTATCAGCTAAAACTGGCACTAACTTCGGGGACAAGCGGCTGTAGCTCGGTCGGTATAGTTCGCTTGCGGACTAAAACTCACGGAGTTCTTTTGTTTTGATATAGTTGAAGAAACAGCAATATTAGATTCTTAGTATCAGAACTTGTCTACGACATCTTATTCTGTTCTAGAAAGGCTACCTGTATCGATCCCAAGGCATTCATCATTTCCACATGAACTCCTTTGTGGTTTCCGTGTTCAATATGTTCAAATCGTTCATGAAGGAGAAGATGAGGAACAGAGTAAGTCAGCCTTTTCTTTAAACTTGATCATACTATGAATATGAAGTGTCTTTTTCTTCACGAAAAGTCACATGATCTTCTCATTTCTGCAGCTTCATGTTCACGCCAACGTAGACACCTTATACAAATATGTTCCCAAAAGAATTTTGCCCCAGGAATATGGAGGAGACGCGGGCCGGAAACACAAAATAACAGGTATGCCCCAAATGTATCAAGTCACTAAGCTGGAATGGAAATAAGGTTTCCATTCCAGGGTTAGAGGAAACTGGAAATTGTTCCAAAGTAAAACACAGTTCTTCATGTCCTTGCTACTGATTTTTCTAGAAAAATGGTTTCAATACATCGGTTTTCGACTTTAGAGATCGCTATGTGGGTAAGGCTGTGAGATGCTTGTCTCTCTCAGAGAAGGGGAGGATTTAGTCTCAGGCTGTATGACCTTTGTGGAAAACGTAGGAAATCATTGTCATCGATTCTATTTACTTATTCTCGATGTGAGACGTACGCAACATACCAGACCATTCAACATGACGCAGCAATCTCGGTATTCAATTGAAAACTATTTTGCACTCATTGTAAGAAATTTCAGTTTTAACATCAGGGTCATCCCACATTAAAGAGGATGAGATGAACAGGGAATGTAGCACGAATAGGGAGAAAAGAAATGCATATAGGATATTGGTGGGAAAACCAGGAGGAAAGAGACCACTAGGAAGAGCAAGACGTAGGTGGGTGGACAATATTAAAATGGATCTTATAGAGATAAGAAAATGGTATAGATTGGATTGATCTGACTCAGGATAGGGACCGCAGTAGGACTCTTGTGAACATGGTAATGAACCTTTGGGTTCCATAAAATGCTGGGAAGCTCTTGAATAGCTGTACAGTTGGCGGCTTCTCAAAAAGGGCTCAGCTCCATGAGTGAGTCATGCCACATTAACTGGATCCATGATACATCCTACATTATGGATTCGTTGATTAATAAACTCCGTCTAGGCATTCGCTTTGTTTTTCATTGTTATGACCAATGATTTTACTTATATTATTCAAAAGCTGCCAAATATGATGAAAAACAGCGAACACTGATAAGACTGTGCTATCACACTACCAGAATGACTGGCCGACGTGACTCATCTTGTAAATATTACCAATGAGCACGCGCATTCACGATCGTCGATAGACTGCAGAGAGACCATCATTTTTGATGTTAGGACATACTGCGTGAGTGTCGGTAGATCGAATCGTCGATTGGTGTGGCATGTCTCTATGCAAGCATATAATTAACCCATTAGTAACAGAAAGGGGACACGTAACATCGTTAAGCCATGTGCAACAAGCAGACCCTAGTTTTAAGACTCAGGAAGTTGTCACGAAATGAATTATAATGAAATAAAAAAACTCCGTGGCCTGTAGCCCGCAAGAGAACTATACCACCCGAGCGACGGCCGATTGTCGGCGAAGTTAGTGCCAACTTTTGCGGATAGGTGGCGTCGCGTGGTCAGCGCAACGAATCCCCACGGCCGTTGATCTCAGTTTTCTAGACCGGAGCCGCTATTTCCTAGAAATGGCTCCTCAATTATCCTCACGAGGCTGAGTGGACCCCGTTCCAAACCCACTACTTCTCAGAAAATCTGGTAATGCCGGGAATCTAACCCGGGACCTCTAGATCTGTAGCCAGGAACTCTGACTACTAGACCACAGAGGCGGTCACACAATCATCTCTCTCAATAAAAGTTACATGTACATCATGATGTGCAGGCTATCCTGAAGAAATATATATCTATTCCTGAATTCAGTGGAGAGTACGCTATTATTATGTTAATTTATTGTTTGCGCTGCTAATGTCGTGTCCGTGTTGTAGAAGAGTGAAGAAAAAAAGTCGAAGCTCGTCGCGATTGGCTCGCAGAGTCCGAGAAGTACCTATCTGATGAGAAGAAGCGACCCGGGGGCAGACCGAAGACTCAAGAGGATCTGTTCGGATTGGAAGGCTCCTTCAGAAAACTGAGCGTCAACTAGGATCTATTCACAAATCTAAATTGAGCTTAAACTTTAATTCAGACAAAGTTTCACTGAGACATTTGCTACAAACGTAGTTGAGAGGAAACACCTGCCTTACTGTATGTGTCTATATACAAGGTATTCATACAATATGTAACTTCAATTTAAAGGGTTAAATTATATTTGAAGCTGTTCATTATTCCGGCTAGAAATAATTAAAAATAATCTGATAATAAAAAAATTATGTATGGACATTTGTATTTTCATTCTTCGTTTATTCGATTAATATCCCTAACAGAATACAGGCACCATATAGCGTAAAATGAAAAGAGATGGTAAGTAAGATTACCAGTATGAAGAATGAAGCAAGAAGTCTCAGGATACAAGTCCTGGACTTGCACATGTTTTGTGAAAAATACGTTCACTTCACTCCTTTACTTACACCGGTACAGTGGCCGCGTCATAGCTCAAGCGGCTAGTCGCTGGCTTCCCACCGCGGCGGCCCGGTTTCGATTCCGGGTCTGGTCAAGTGGCATTTGTGGTGGGCAAAGTGGCGCTAGGGCAGGTTTTCTCCGAGTACTCCGGTTTCCCCTGCCAATCTTCATTCCACCAATTGCTTCACATTCACCCTCACCTATCGTCTCGGGCTGGTACAATAGGCCAGAAGTGGTCGCAGTACAAGGGACTTAGTCCCACCCCACTAGCAATAAAAAGATACTCCGGTACTGAATATGGTGACCAATTCATTATTTGAGATCATCAGGACACGATCTTGCTATTTACGCAATGATACCTTCTCTGAGAAATTGTCTGTGATCAGTCGAACTGATAAACTTGTAAACCAACAATAAACTCCGTGGCCTGTAGTCTGCAAGCGAACTATACCGACCGAGCGACCGCCGCTTGTCGGCGAAGTTAGTGCCAACTGTAGCGGATAGAGTGTGTCGCGTGGTCAGCGCAACGGATCCACACGACCGTTAATCTCGGTTTCCTAGACCGGAGCCGCTATTTCCTTGAAATAGCTCCTCAATTATCCTCACGAGGCTGAGAGGACCCCATTCCAGCTCCAATACTTTTCAAAAAATCTGGTAGCATCGGGAATTGAACACGGACCGAGGGATCTGTAACCAGGAACTCTGACCACTAGACCACAGCGGCGGGCTGACAAAACATGTAACTAGTGGTAATTATGAAGAAATGGGTAAATGTTACTGCATTAGTACTAAAATTTTAAACTTTAAACAATTCTTGATCTTTTGAAGAGATAAATTGGTCAAATGATATAACAAACACACTTATCCCGGGCAGTGAAATTAATCCCAGAGATAAGATAGCATGAAGACGAATCTAATCTTTTTTTAGCCACAAACACTACAGATCCATACTCTGTGGGCCGGCATACTTCGCTGTGCTGCAGGTAAGTTTCAAGTTGCAATTTAATTTCTACGAGTTACTCGTAATTAATTTTATGAATATCTTGCAAGGCTATTGCAGGAGATAATAATTTCCAGTAATGTTAATTCCTACTGTGTGCTAGTATCTTTGTTTACGCTATTTATAACTTTTTGAACAGCTAATAGGTACGGAACAGTTCGATAAACTTATTTTGTTGCAAAAGTATAAATTTCATTATCACACCTCCAAAGATCATCACTTTATTTGAACTTCAGGCTGTAAACTATCCACTTTCCTAAGATCTATTTTTATATTATTTTCTTACGTAAATCAATTGTAGGTAATTGTAAGTTGTTCATACAGAAATGTTCGTAAAATTCACGATGTATATTTTTATTTTGCCTTCAGTTTCTAAGTCAAGGAATGAGTTGGAAAAGGTTTTCTGTTCTATAATTACAAAGCTTGCTGTCAAAGGAGCATTTCATTTTCATTCTTTCTTATTATACCCTTTGCTTTATATACTTATCAGCAAATGTTTCCACTTTCAATGAATGTGGATACGTGATTCTGTACACCGACCTTTATCAGCCGATTATCGAACTCTACGCATTCATTCTTTCTTCTTTGCATTTTAACTGTCTCAATTGTAGGAACTGCCTTTAGGAACAGGCGCTAAATCAGACAAGACAACATGGCGATCCGCACACTGAGTGCCGACCTTGAAGCAATAGCTCGTCAGGAGTTGAACGAGGATCCTGCCAGATTGGAAGCAGATTTGAAGCACATAAGGGAATGGTTGGCCAAACAACCGCACCTCACGGCCAGAACAGGTACTACTGGAACACTGCTTCTTGCTTTCCATATGAAAAGTGAATTGGTTTCCTGGAAATGCAGCCAATGCTCCGGAAATATTTATAGTATTCTGGTGCCACACAACCCGAGTCGCGGGTTCGATTGCTGCTCGGGGTCATCTTACTCCTATACTTTGCGCGTGGTCAGCGCAACGGATACCCACTGCCGTTAATCTCGGTTTTCTAGACCGGAACATCTATTTCCTTGAAATAGCTCCTCAGATATCCTCACGAGGCTGAGTGAACTCCGTTCCAGAACCAACTATTTCTCAGAAAATCTAGTAGCGCCGGAAATCGAACCCGGGACTCAGGATCTGTTGCTAGGAACTCTGACCACTAGACCACAGAGGCGGTCTCTTACAAACTCATTCAATGAATTTTTAAATATAAGTGATCTGCATTTCTTACTGGAAACCCTTATGCCTTAGAAACCATACCATATTCCCTGAATTCCTTTCGTAGTAGGATATTACGTGTCTTTCGGCCATTTTTCAAGAAATGCATTTTGGAGTTACTTTATTCGAAAAGGGGATGGAAGAGAACAAGTGAAAAACAATATATAATTGCTTAATAAGTCGAATCCTCCAAGCTGCGGAAAGTAACACTGAAAGTTTCTTTGCATTTGAGTGACATCTGTAGAACGAAACTCTCCTTGCTACCTGCTTTATGTTGGTTCCTTGCTTGGTTTATTCTTCAACCCTGAAAATGGAGCTCACATGCCCCTCCGAAACGTCGATATACTTTCAAAGGACACACTTACTTCCTTTCTGCGCTTATTGAGCTGAGCCCTCCTTGAAAAGAACCAAAATCTGCTGCTACTCAAGAATTTTCTAACATTTTATGGAACCCGAACGTTCATTATCGTGTTCACAAGAGTCCTCCACTGGTCCCTATCCTGAGCCAGATCAATCCAATCCATCCCATTCTATCTCTCTAAGATCCATTCTAATATTGTCCACCCGCCTACGCCTTGGTCTTCCTAGTGGTCTCTTTCCTTCTGACTTTCCAACCAATACCCTATATGCATTCCTCTTCCCCCCATTCGTACCACATCCACTGCCTACCTCATCCTTCTTGACTTGATCATTCTAATTATACTTGGAGAAGAGTACGAGTTATGAAGCTCCTCATTATGCAGTTTTATCCAACCTCCTGTCACTTCATCTTTCTTCGGTCCAAATATTCTCCTCACCACCATGTTCTCAAACACCCTCAGTCTATGTTCCTCCATTAATGTCAGAGAAAAAGTTTCACACCCATACAGAACCACAGCCAAAATTGTAGTTTTGTATATTCCAATTTTTATGTTTTTGGACAGCAGACGAGAAGACAGAAGGTAGGGCTGAATGGTAGCAAGCATTACCCGAGTTCAGTCTCCTCTTAATTTCCTCCTGAATCAGATTTCGATCTGTTATCGTTGTCCCCAAATATCTGAACTGTGCCACATTTTCGAAACATCTGTTTCCTGTCTTTATGTCATGATTTTACCCTGCATTTTGGTGACGAGACAGTAACATATACTTAGTTTTCTCTGTGTTTACTTCTAGACCAACCTCTTTACTTGCGTCAATTAAAGTCTGTGTGTTTCTCTTTATGGTATCTATATAATCACCCAGTAGATTCAAATCGTCAGCATAGACCAACAGCTGAATTGTCCCGTTTAATTTCAGTCCCACCTGGTTTCCCTGGACCTTCCTAATGACATATTCTAAAGCAAAGTTGAAAAGGAGTGGCGATAAAGCATCTCCTTGTCTTAGACCATTCTGGATAGGAAATTTATCACTTTACATGGCTTTATATCCCATAAGATAGAAATCGCTTAAACCACCGCTGTGAGAATCTCAGATTATACAAAATTGCATTAACATGCACAGTGGTAACAGTCCCTCAGTTGAGATCACCACTGACAACAGTAAAACTTAACCTCTCGAGCTGTGGGAATGACAGCGAGTGTATTGAGAGTTCAGGTGGCACGTGACTAGCTACGAACCGGCAGGAGAATTCAGATTCCCTTTCATCGTGATGCCAGCCAAGCAAGCCTACAGCTCTCACTTCTCTCCTGTCGAGTGACTGCCAGGAGTCGAGAGTTGTGTCAATGGAATTCAGGCTAACCATTTGCGAAGGGCCGCGCCATAGCTCAAGCGGTTAGTCGCTGGCTTCCCATCGCGGCGACCCGGGTTCGATCCCGGGTCTGGTAAAGTGGGATTTGTGGTGGAGAAAGTGACGCAGGGGCGGGTTTTCTCCGAGGACTTCGGTTTCCCCTGCCAATCTTCATTCCACCAATTGCTCCACAATCACCCTCACCTATCATCTGGGGCTGGCACAATAGGCCAGAAGTGGCCGCAGTACAAGGGACTTAGTCGCACCCCACTAGCAATAAATAATAATAAAAAACCTGAGTCGCGTTCTTCCGCCGTTCGTATTAGGTTCTCTGGTCCGTTACCGGTCAGAATTAATCTGGAACTATGAATCTTTTGGTAGTCGGTAGGACTCCTTGGAAGGGGAATCAGCCCTGTTGTAAAGCCGTCACCTACACAGGACAACATAAACAGAGATAAACGCGGACAGACTCCCCTGCCTCGAATGGGATTCGAAACCACGATCCCAGTGCTTGAGCGGGTGAAGACGTTTCATGCCTTGGGCCGTGCGGCCATTGTTCTCGACCTCCGAGCTCACTACATACCATGATTTTATGGCGGATGGCGTTAGCGCGGTCACAACTTTGATTATAACTGGTGTGCGCTTCAACAGGCTATGCTATGCGGTAACAAATTTGTCATTTCACAGACATCTCTTATCTGCCGCATACTGTACACTGCTATATCTTATCTCCTATAGTGACGTCATATAGGCACATCCCATAAACCAGTGGTTCTCAACTCTATGAGACCACGGCCCGGCAAATTCTCTTCTTTATAAGTGGGCTCGTTATAATTGATGCCAGGGCCCGGTTCCGGGCCGCGTCCCGGCGTTGAGAAACGTTGCCATAAACCAGAAGCTTTCGTGCTAATTGCATCACTTGTGTTACAGATTCACAATGGCTAACAACATTCCTGCGCGGCTGTAAATTCTCCCTGGAGCGCACCAAGACCAAAATGGACATGTATTACACTCTGAGAACTGCGTTACCGGAAATATTCACGAATCGTGACCCAATGCTGCCTGAGATTCAACATATTCTCAAGTTAGGGTGAGAAATTATTCTTTTCATTGTTCTTACTAGCGAGTCCCTGAACCTTACAACGTAATATAGGAATGATACAAAATATGATGAGAGTCTACATACCGACTGCACATTCAGTGTTAAAACAACTATCTCTAAAGACAGAAGAAATGATAAGGACAGAATGCCATATTAGCGTAAAGCCCGTTGTAATTTCAAGGGGAATTGTTAAAAATAAACTCGTAAAAATAACTAAATGAAATTGAAAACAGTTTCTTTTTTACGAAGACACTAAGCTTGAGAAAATAGTAATATACTGCTTCTATCTAGATGACATTTTGTAAGCAAAACTTGCATATAACAAGCAAAGTAAAGTAAGTAAAGGTGTCCCCTTAACAGACCGTGGAGGCCACTAGAGTTGTGAGATGTTGAGGCTCCCACATTTTCTAGACAATCGGCTCACAGATGGCGGTAAGGTTGTCAGCTTTACGAACCGGCCGCCCTTTACCACCAAGAATATTCCTGGTACTCATTTCTGTTAGAGGTTGAGTCGACCTCGGGTCCATAGTGCGGCTGGAAGGAATAGGTAAATTAAAAAAAAAAGACACCTCATCGGGATTCGATCCCGCGACCTTCGGGCATATAGCATAGTGCCTCAACCAACTACGCAACCGTGAACAAATACTCGGAAACCTTTTCTTATATTTTATCCTCTGTTACTATTTTTGCCTTGCACGAATTGTCCATTTTTTTACCCCCTTTGTGTTCTGGTGGTCAGATTTCCTAGCTACAGGTACAGAGGTCCCGGGGTCGATTCCCGGCACTACCAGATTTTCTGAGAATTAGTGAGCCTGGAACGGAGTCCACTCAGCCTCCTGAATATAACTGAAAACCTATTTCAAGGAAACAGAGGCTCCGGTCTAGAAAACCGAAATTAACGGCTGTGGGTATCCGTTACGCTGACCACGCGACACGCTCTATCTACTACATTTAGCACTAACTTCGCCGACAAGCGGCGGTCTCTCGGTTGGTAAAATTCGCTTGCGGACTACAGACCACTGAGTTTTTTTGTTATCAGCACATATAAAAATAATGTACTGAGTTATCTATCAACTTGCAGAATATTCTTACCACTGCCGTTGCCAGATGAGCTGGGGAGGCGCGTGATCCTGATGAGGAGTGGCATTTACCGTCCTGAAGAAGTCGCGATTCTAAACCTGTTCAAAACAAATATGATGCTTGCAGACGTCCTACTGGATGAGGACGATCGCGCTTCCATCTGCGGTACAGTAAATGTGATGGACCATTCCAACTTGACTATGGCCCATATGTCTCAGTTCAGTCCGTTTCTAGTGAAGAAGATGACTACACTCTTCCAGGTAAAGATTGGTGAACCAGTAACAACAGTTGCCATCCTATGTTGATGAAACTTACATTCGTTTCTAAATAGTTAAATCCGTAGGAGAACGTGAGCCGAAACTTCTTCTTCTTCTTTATCAACTTTCAGTGATTAAGCCCTCTGAATTTTCTTAATCCGTAATTAGTCCTCAAATAATCTTTCCTTTATGTTTTTGGTATGAGTTCATGGTCGGAAAACCAAGTTAAGTAAGGTCTCTACACAGAAACACAGAGATGTGAGTCCAAGTCCCAAGGGCTATTCGGGCTCAGGGTTCGAGAGGTCAATGACCACGCCGGAATACGCGCACATTTGACCGGCTGCTGGTGACTTAATAAGGATTCATGATGTGATTTTCAGTTGGTTCTTTCATCGATGTTTCCAGATTCCTTTTCGGAGTGCGTATGTAGTTGTTCCGAGGGCTTTCAGCGTATCTTTCAGTCACTAGCATCTGAGTTTCCGCCTTGGCCACTAAACGATTTGCAGGAAGTTCTTACGTAATCGCACTGTATTGTTGCAGCTGCTGTACTAGAAAGCACTGCATAATGAGGCGCTTCATAACTTGTACTCTTCTCCAAGTATAATTAGAATGACCAAGTCAAGGAGGGTGAGGTGGGCAGGGCATGTAGCAAGAATGTGAGCGATGAGGAATGCATATAGGATATTGATGGGAAAGCCAGAAGGAAAGAGACCAAGGCGTAGGTGGGTGGACAATATTAAAATGGATCTTAGAGAGATAGGATGGGATGGTATGGATTTGGACTGATCTGGCTCAGGATAGGGACCAGTGGAGGGCTCTTGTGAACACGGTAATGAAACTTCGGGTTCCATAAAATGCTGGGAAATTCTTGAGTAGCTGCAGAATTGGCGGCTCCTCCAGAAGGGCTCAGCTCCAAGAGTAAGTAAGTTTACTAGACAGTGTACAATGCTAAATCTCACATTTTTTTTTTAATTTGTTTCATTTTGGTCCGTTACACTATCAATCACAAAGTTAATAGAAAGTCCGTCGAATGTAACAATTTGTAGGTCACTTTTTATTATTATTTCTGCCTTACATGTTTCGGTTTGACACAACCATCATCAGAGGCACTTGCTATAATTATGGAAACACTGTCGCTTCATCATCAAAAAAGCGACAGTGTTTCCATAATTATAGCAAGTGCCTCTGATGATGGTTGTGTCAAACCGAAACATGTAAGGCAGAAATAATAATAAAAAGTGACCTACAAATTGTTACATTCGACGGACTTTCTATTAACTTTGTGATTGATAGTGTAACGGACCAAAATGAAACAAATTAAAAAAAAAANATTATTATTATTATTCAACCTAGCGTCTGGCCACTGAACCATTCACAGTAGAACATGCAGAGGTCTATTAATTATTATCGACCATTTACTCTGTTTGTTGTGTTGAAATAATATCATCTGAAAAGTTTACACACTCATGGCCCCTATCATATTTTCTTTATCTTTGTTGCATATATGGCTCATATCTAGGAAATTAATCTTCTTTAAATCCTTATTATCAGTTAATTTCAAGCGAGCTGAACTGTGACAGACCTACCGAAGTTTATCTAACAATAATAAAAAAGTTAAGTTATCCTGTAACAGACCGTGGAGGGCCATAGAGTTGTGAGACGTCAAGGCTCCCACATTTTCTAGACAATCGGCGTCTTTTCTACGCAGCTAAATGCCTTCCGATTGGTCGGTTGCCACTTTGTGCCATATGCGAAGAATAAAATTCAAGTAATAATTTGGTACAGTAGGGCAATTTGATGAGAATGAGATGGACAGGACAAGTAGCTCGAATGGGGGAGAAGAGGAATTCACACAGGGTTTTAGTGGGAGAGCCAGAAGGAAAGACACAACTAGGAAGATCTAAATGTAGGTGGGAGAATAGTATTAAAATCGACCTTAGAAAAGAAGGATAGAGTAGCATGGACTACATTCATCTGGCTCAGGATAGGGACCAGCAACTGCCACTTCTGGACATTGTAATGAACAGTCGGATTCCGTAAATTTCTCGGAAATTCTTGAACACCTGAGCGATTGGTGGCTTCTCAAGGAGTCAGCTACATAGAGTCAGTTATTTGGTACGTAATATGACTACCTCTTGGCGCCCAATAAACAATAACAATAAACCGAGAAAGACGAGTCAGCCGGTAATATTTGTGACTTACAGTGGGAGGTTTCCGGTTCGAGTCTTGGCTGAGACTTTGATAATCCTGACTAAGGTTGTTTCCCTCTCTCTTACATAACTTACTTACTTACTTACTTACTTACTTACTCATAAGCCCTTCCTGAGAAGCCGCCAATTCTGCAGCTACTCAAGAACTTTCCAGCATTTTATAGAACGAGAAGATTCATTACCGTGTTCACAAGAGCCTTCCACTGGCCCCTGTCCTGGGTCGGATCAATCCAATCCATACCATCCCATCCTATTTCTCTTCTCCCCCATTCGTGTTACATGCCCTGCCCACCTCATCCTCCTTGACTTGATCTTTCTAATTGTTTTCCTCTCTCACTCCAAGGAAATGCGAAGAAGTAACTCCATCAGCGCTTCTTCGACCTCCGTTCCAGTTTCGTCTTCGTTGATCATCCTGCGATTAGACACTTTGTAATCCGATACAGTGGCGGTGCAATTGAATGCTTAACTTCTAATGGGGGGTGGAATCCAGCTGGGTGCACTCGGCACGTGGGCCACTGATTGGCCTATTGTACCTGCGCCGGGTGATGATGGAAAATTTGGTGGAATGAAGATTGGCAGGGGAAACAGAAGTACTCGGAGAAAACCTGCCCCAGCGCCACTTTGTCCACCACAAATCCCACTAGACCAGACCCGAGCTCGAACCCGGGTCGCCGGCCATTTCCTGTAGTAAGTTACATGATCATGGACGCAGACTTGTTGTTGTAGGACGGTTACCCGATTCGTCCCAAAGGCATGAACCACATCAACATGAACGCAGCCTTCACTACTGTGTTCAACCTGTTCAAGTCGTTCATGAAGGAGAAGATGAGGAAAAGGGTAAGTCAAGTTGACATGAACTTCAATAATTGTGGTAATTATGCCACTTATGCTGTAATTATGTGGTTAAATAGAAAAGGTAAAACTGTCCCTGTGCTTCATTAATTAAGCACAACGCCGTGAAGATGTATGGGGGAGTGGAGACACAGTTCCACTCTTGTTAACATCGGTATTAGATGGAGGGGAATGATCAGGTTCACGATTCTACCGCTTTACCCCCGGGGAAACAGGCCCGCTGTTCATATTGTGTAGGAAGCTCCAAAACGTCGAGATCCGCTCTGGACGTTATGGAGTAGAAACAGAATTCCTCGGTCGTCCAACCCGTAGCCCGTGACCCACTGACACATTTCGGCTGTAAATTTTGAAAAATAAATGACAAAACATATTCAAATTAAGCAAAAAGGGGCCCACATTTAACAAGAAATATGATGAAAACTTAGGCACGTCTAACTTGTAGCTCTTCAATTCAGCTACAATGGACCTATTTACACACAGAACTTATTAATGTTGCGAACAGTGAAATATGAAATAAATCTGGTAATGTAATTAGTCACATATTTTAGAATTACTAATTGATTTTTATTGTTGCGTTGACCACGCAGCACCCTCTATCAGCTAAAGTTGGCACTAACTTCGCCGACAAGCGGCGGTCGCTCGGTCGGCATAGTTCGCTTGCTGACTAAATCCACGAAGGTTTCTTTATCACTTGCCTCCTATAGTAGCTAACGCATACGGACAAGGGCGCTTAAATTTCATATTAGAGTAAGTTGGTTGAAGATAAGCAGTGCCATGTTACCCATCCAATGTAGCATCTTATTATGCAGAACATTATTTAATGTGAATTCCTTAAGTCGAGTTAAGCTTCAATCGTGATACGGTATTATATTCTCCGTAACTATCAAAGTTTAAATGTATTTCATTACATATACTGTAAGCCATATTACCGTATCATCAAGGTGAATGCATATGAACTTAACGAAGAGAGTTCAATTTGGGCGGGTTTGCAACTGTTTCTCTCGCAACCTCCTCCAGACCGGCTTTCAGGCCTACCCAGCAAAGTCTTCAAGAGTTGTTAGAGCTCCTCCCAGAAGGATAAAGTGGCCGAAGCGTCAATTTGACTACAGACTTTCAGCTATTCCCGAGGATGAGTATGCGTGGATCTCTGGCGTGGTTCTGAAGCACAGGGTCAGTTGTGTCTTAATGTACTGAATCAAGAGGAGTCAAAGGGGCGGATTTCCCGAATGGATTAGAGAAAGACGAAACAAGAAGGTAACCATGTAAATGTAAATATATATTAAGAATGCCACATTCTGGGATATGGCGCCGTGTAGATCTTGTGTAAACCGACATTTCGGAGGAACGTATCGCCGCCATCTTCAGGGTAGAAAAGTCCGCGTCCAACGAACCAGCGTGAGCAGGTGTCTGCAGCCACCTACTCACGCTGGTTCCTCGCTCACGGATTTTTTCTTCTACCCTGAAGATGGAAGCAATAGGTTCCTCCGAAATGTCCATTTACACAAGATCTACACGGCGCCANTTAAAGAGTCCATAACAGAATTAAAAGCTAGACTAAAGAGCAAAATTTAAAGTTCTCACAGAGATGGTTATGAAGTTTTCTATATTCTTGGATATAACACCATAAAACCCGTTGAAATAGGCTAAAACGTATCTGCTTCATGCTGGTTTCTTGCCTGACTTATCTTCGGAGCTGAAGATTGAGGCGATATGTTTCTCTCAAATGTCGGTTGTCTTTCAACGTACTGCATGGCACTGCATTCCACAATATAGGACTCTTCACACGTTAAAGGGAATGACGCCTCTAGATTATGAAAAAAAATCTCTCGATGTATAGAAACATAAACTGTCACGCAAGAGTTAAAACAAACGGTACGTACAGCTGCTGTCCGCATGAAAGCAGCCAGCAACTGAAAAATCGCTGTCAGTTTCACTTACTGCTGGAATCACGAAAATGGCACATAATTTCATACTTCTTTCTGCAGTTGTATGTCCACCCCGACATGGAATCCTTATATAAAACAGTCCCGAAAAGACTTTTGCCCCTGGAATACGGAGGAGAAGCTGGCCCGCTGGACGAGCTGATAGGTGAGTTCTTTATTTGTGTATTTTGAGATAGCTAAGATGGAAACCATACGGAAAGCTTTTATTAGCTCAGTCTGTATAGCGGCAAGCTATCGGATGTATCGCCGGGTTTCGATTCTGACAGAGGAAAGATACAGAGTGTCCGGATGTAAGGTATCCAAAATAAAAAAAAATATATATCTCGGAAACTAATTGTTGTACACGTATCCGTTTTATGTCATGGGAAACCCTGAAAGTTTTTTTTTCATGCCCGGCTTACGCGCAAGCGCCGCCACATTTCTGCCACCATGTTAGAAATCACCTGGACAGAGAGATGGCTAGGAGATGGATCGGCAGAGATGAACCAATCGCTTGGCCTCCTAGGTCGCCAGATTTAACCCCAGTGGACTTTTTCTTGTGGGGTTATGTGAAGAACATTGTCTACTAGGTTAAGATCAACGAGCTTCAACACCTGAAAGCCCGCAGAAAAACAAATTGATAGTTTCCCTTTGTAATGGTGAAACCCATTAATGTGTATAATAAATTCTCTATGAGACATGATTTTATTTTGGATACCTTTCATCCGGCACCTTAAATTTTTTATTCTCCACAGCGTCCAGTTTGGAGCTGGGGTATACCCAGTCTCCTATTCAATAGGTACGGCGGGTGTAAGAGGCCGGAACCTGAAACTAACCACTCACCTCCAGTTAGTGCAGAGGTCAAGAAAGGCAGGGCTATGCCTTCACTGCAGCACAGCACGTGTTCATGGTGTGGTGCCATATTCAGCAGGAGCATCTGTTTGCCTTTTGCCTATCAGACAAGCTAAAATGTAAGATTTAGGCCCACAGAAAATGTGCCGGTAAACACTAGTGATGAACTGGCAGTGTGGGCTAGCAACTAGCACCGATACTTGCACAGAAATTGCACTCATTTGACAAAACATCTTCATCTTATTCTTATTATTATTCTTATTCTGATGATGATGATGCTAAAAGGGCTTATTTGACAATGCAAAAACAAAGTTTCTAAAATGATATGTTTCAATTATCTTCCACAATCCGACAAAAGGAGAAATTTTTGTTGAAATGGAAGAGGGGAACAAGTCTCACTCATCTTAGCTCCTCGGTCCAACCCCAAATTTAGAGGCCACTCCTTGTCGCTTGTCCACAACTACTTATTCAATGTGTTATCAGCTACTCTCCATATCCGGTGATCCCATAATCAAAATAGATGAGATAAACAGGTTATGTCCCAGTCTGGAGACGGGTTATAATACCTCCACCGTAGCTCTACGAGTCATGGAAGGTGACGAAAATGAAAACCTCTGTAGCTGGGAGTAAAACTGGGCCACCCTGTCACTGGGGAGCATAAATACAGGTCCTGGTCTTCCGAGTTTGGGCTTGGATGCAAGGCTGACAAATATTCTGTGAAAAAGAAATATTGTTGCGAAATCCAAAGAAGTGAAAATCGAGAAGCCACAAATCTGGTAAAATTTTCTAACGAAAGCTATGGCTCCAAAATGGGCGTTTTGCAACGACGATAATAAACTAGTTCATGAGAGAAATGAGGTATTTTAAAGACAAGGTACTTCTTGGAATAAAATAATAAAACTACTTTTCAATAAATAAGGTTTTTTAGTAATTCTCTTCATTCAGATTTCCCTCGTAAAATTTTTCATGCACTTCTGTTCACTTCTTTGCGTGCAGCAGTCTCTGCGTACGTCTTACCTACCTCATTCATCCTCCGTCATATACTCATTCTGATAATATTACGTGAGGTGTACAAAATATGAAGCTACATATTATGAACTCTTTTCCACCCTCCTGTCATTTCGCCTTTCTTAGGTCCAAATATTCATCTCAGTACCTTGTTCCCAAACGCCTTCAGTCTATGTTCTTTCGATAATGTGAGAAACAAAGTTTCACACCGATACAAAACCGCAGGCAAAATTAAAATTTTCTATTTTCAATCTTTTCGATTTAGAGGTGCGCGGAAAGACAAAGGTTTTGAAGGCCCCCCCCCCAATTTAACAACGGAAATCGTTTAGATTCCTGAATAACTGTAGGTTGGAGGGCAATTGAATGCATTTACCGAAGTCTTCATTTTGTGTTCGTTTTCATGCGGTTACAATACCGTTCGTAATTTGCAGAACAACTGTTGTCGGGATATTGTCCTAGGATACAGTGACTTAATCTGTGCCTCTTATTGCGAATTGTACCAAATTAGCTTACATCAAGCGATAACACATATAAGATCATTCATATTGTCGGCCAGGGTAGAGTTTACGCTGAGATTTCCGTGATTTTCCTCATCCTGTGTATGAGAACACCGGAACAGTTTACAACTTCTCCCGCCCGATTCTATAAAATAACTTTAGCATCTTCCTGTTTTATCCTGTTCTTGTTTCAGAGGGGCCGCCTCTGTAGTCTAGTAGTCAGAGTTCCTGGCTACAGATCCAGAGGTCCGGGTTCGATTCCCGGTGCTACCAGATTTTCTGAGAAATAGTGGGTCTGAAACGGGTTCCACTCAGCCTCGTGAGGATAATAGAGGAGCTATTTCAAGGAAATAGCGGTTCCGGTCTAGAGAACAGAATTAACGGCCGTGGAGATTCGTTGTGCTGACCATGCGACACCCTCCATCCGCTAAAGTTGGCACTGACTTCGTCGACAAACGGCGGTCTCTCGGTCGGTATAGTTCGCTTGCGGACTACAGTCTACAGAGTTCGTTTTTGTTTGTGTTTCAGAGGAATGGAAGAAGAAAGTTGAAGCTCGGCGTAGCTGGTTCATTGAGGGCGAAAAATATCGTTCGGACGAGAAGAAACGACCCGGGGGCCGACCGAAGACTCAAGAGGATCTGTTCGGATTGGAAGGCTCCTTCAGGCAATTGAACGTCGACTAGGATCTACAAAATCAAAATTAAAATTAAAATTAAATTATATTCAGACAGTAAAATATTATAACAATCTGGGCTTCTTATAGGGAATAATTTGCATTTTCATGTATGAATTCCATTTAATTTCATGTGGCTCTCTGGAAATAAATTTTGAACATTTCAGTAACTAATTAAATGCAATAGAGATTCTGGAAATCTAACAGCCGTTTAGCTACAGAAGAAATCCTTCGCTTTCTGCATAAACCGGAGGAAAATTACCATGCTCACACGAGCTGGCAACTGGAGGCTACTTCAATCCAGTCCATCCTCCCTCTTATTTACCCACTCTAAGTTTATCCTCTCATCAACCCCTATGCATGCCCGCGAAGAAGTCTCTTCCCTTCAGGTCTCCTAACTAAAATATTGTGTGCGTTTTTATTACGATAGGTGCTACATAACCCGCGTATCTCATTGCCCTGTTACATCTTCTGTGTTAGGTAGAGACCCTCTCCACCGCTCCCTGTTGTCCCAAACACCCTCAAACTGTACTCTTGCCTAGAATAAGTTTCACGCCCATACAAAACAATAGGTAAAATTACAATTTATTCTATTATGATTTTTAGACTTTTGGAGAGGAAGTGGGAAGACGAAAGATTCTAAACTGGACAGCAGCACACATTCCTCGAATTTATCTAATCTAAGCTTCAAGAATGTAACTCAATTCAATATTAAAATAACGCCATATATCCATAACAGTAAGAACCCTGAACACTGACTGCTGAAATGAAATTCATCACCGGTTACTATGAATTCCCTTCATAAAAGACAACATTTCCTAATAACATTTCAGAGGCATTTCCCTCCTCCTTCTCCGCCATTTGTGCAGTTTTGGACCACAGGTCATCATAACGGAAAGCCTGTCTGCGTTTATTCTGTGAGCTGTATGCCCAACCTGTCACATCCTTCTTTTAATTTTCTATTATACGTAGTATTAATAAGAAATCACAGCCTCACAAATCTCTGTGAATGCTTTCTTTCCTGATGTTTACTCAAAGACGCTTTTATGCAAAAGATGTCACGACTTTCGATAAGTATGTGGCGGTCTCTGTTGGCTGCAATCTCTACCACTTCATTTCGATACGGCCACTGAAGCTCGACAGGTAGAATGAACGTAGAAAGTGGATTCAACGGTGGCCATGCATGCAGTACACAGCACAGAAATATGACAGTAAATATCATCTTGCAACTGGCACAAGAAGCACATTTCGGTTTGATAATGTGTCCCCGCCGTTTATACCAGCATCAGACTACCTGCGAGGAACTACTGGAGACATTTCAACATAAATACACGTATCAATTTTGCAGATGCAAAACAAATTAATTCCGTGCCAGTAGAGAAAAATTATTATATCTTACTTGCAATTGAAAGAATTCCTAGAAACAGAATATCATTCTGGCAACCATTTTAAGAATTGCGTGTGTCTAATGTCCTCTCTTCTCCTCACTGAATTGCGAGCACAATTTCATAATAGTCATTCAGCTAGTCAAGAAAATCCTGACCCCGAAAGCTGGTTGCAGCGTTTAGAAGAGCCACTTCCTTGCCAGACGAATTCCACTGCATACACACAGTGGAGGAAAATAGAAAATTGGTTATTAAAACAGAGTGTGTGCGGGTATGGACTCCAGTCAGCTGGTTTAGGATAAATCTGAGCTTCACCAAACGTATTGTACTCCACATAGTTAGCTCGTTAGTTAGTTAATAGTTAGTTGGTTGTCTGTTAGTTAAGTATGAATACGTGTTTCATGGAGTTTCATAAATCCACCTGCTTGTAAGAAAACTCTGTTCGCTTTCCCACCTTGTCTCTTGGCAAGTTCTGGGTCTTAAAATCAACCAACAGCTGCATGAAGCTAATCGGAGTCGTTGTTAGACATTGGTAACGTTTGTCACAACCCAGAGGGAGAAGAAATGATAGCTGGGCTCGTCAAGATACAAGTATGATCAAGGTCAAGAACAAGTCAACAGTCTCTCTAACATCTCCATGTGCCACTGAATCCTTCGATCCTTCCTGATACGTGTCGTCAGGGAATTCGTTTGCCGGAAATTATTGAAAAAGAGGCGAGAAGTCAAAGAGTCTGTGGGTGGCTACTACTCTCTCCTCTGATTGCACCAGTGACACGTGGTTACATTAACAATACCGTTCAACCTGCTGTAATGCGGAGGGCTATGTTCAAGTAAGAGTCGCCGGCAGCTTGCAACAGGTGGGCTTCCTTGATTAACCCATAAGTTACTGAGCGACGATTCTCCAACAGAGGCTAATAGTGTCGAATAAAATTGTAAAACCATAACCTAATAAATTCATGACGAGGTGGTTGTTGTATATTGTAAGATTCCATTACTTACTTACTTAATTATGGAGCTGAGCTCTTCTTGAGGAGAAGCCAAATCTGCAGCTACTCAAGAATTTCCCAGCATTTTATGGTACCCGAAGGTTCTTTACCGTATTCACAAGAGCTCTCCACCGGTCCCTAACCTGAGCCAGATCAATCCAATCCATAACATTCCATCCTATCTCTCTAAGATCCGTTTTAATATTGTTCACCTACCTACGCCTTGGTCTTCCCTGCGGTCTCTTTCCTTCTGGCTTTCCCACCAATATCCTATATGCAATTCTCTACCCCACCATTTATGCTACATGCCTTGCCAACCTCATCCTCCTTGACTTGATCATTCTAATTATACTTGGAGAAGAGTACAAGTTATGAAGCTCCTCATTATGCAGCTTTCTCCAACCTCCTGTCACTGTATCTCTCCTCGGTCCAAATGTTCTCCTCAACGCCCTGTTCTCAAGCACTCTCGGTTTATGTTCCTCCCTTACATTGCAAGATTCCATACCGGCATTAACTTGGAGGCACTAAGGACAAGCACGAGAAACTTCAGTCACTCTAGCACGTATTCCGAATGATAATCGAAGTGGTTACAACGAGTGCAAAACTTCGGCTTCCATATACCGTGTAAACTAAACAAACTACAACACAGAAAGTTACATGGGCGTAGGAAACATTAACGGAATGTTTCATGCAGTTCCATCCTTTGCATATGAATCCTATGAGATACAAGTGGCCTGTCCACTCTAATGCAGATAGGGCAGTGTAAGGCGCAGTTGTGAAAACACCATGTCATAAACACAGAAATAAAGAAATGAGATAACCTTGGCACTAGGTGGATGTGAGTGGTCACCTTCAGGCTCCGGCTGCCTTATTTTTAGTAAAATGAAACCAGCACTCACTAGATAAGAAGCTTAATGTAGCGGAAAGGTAGCAACAAAGCCAAGTACTCTAGAGCACAGCCAGATTTATCGTCCAAAGCTAAATGAAAAATCGTACTGTTAAAATACGTGCTCACACAGCAGGAGAAGCTGGAGAGGGTGTGTGGACATAGTTAGTTAGTTAGTTAGTTAGTTATTAGAGAGGGTGGGTTTCCCCATGCACTTAGACCTGTAGTGGTCCATTGTGCTTCCCTCTATGATTTCCACCAGCCTCTATATCCTACCGGTATTGGTGCTTACCATCAGTCCCGCCCAGCCAGCGAGACCGGCTCTACTAGCTGAGAGGTATCTATAATGCTTCCCCAATCTACCGGAGGTATTAGTGACTGCTGTTGGGCGGCAAACGTCCGCAGTTTTGGCTCAGTGACCTCCTTTGGAGGTATGAGGTTCTTTTACGTGCCGTAAAGCTACGACACGGGACCCACGGCTTAAAGTCCCTCCCGGAGGACTTTTTCCCTGAAATTTTCCGCCCTTAAAAATTCGACGACCTCCGCCGGGTATTTGAACCCGCGTACTACGAGTAATGAGGTGGGAACGTTACCTCTAGACTACGGAGGCCACTGCTGGACATAGTTAATGTAGACAGTAAGGGGAACCAGCGACCGAGCACGAAGTTTAGATCCAGGCATTCAATTAATATGTTTTGTCCACGGTTGTCAGACAAGACAAGACTGTGACACACCAGCTTACTTACTTACTTACTCATGGAGCTGAGCCCTTCTTGAAGAGCCGCCAATTCTGCAAATACTCAAGAAATTCCCAGCATTGTATGGAACCCGAAGGTTCATTACCTTGTTCACAACAGTCCTCCACTGGTACCTATCCTGAGCCACATCAATCCAATCCATACCATCCCATACTATCTCTCTAAGATCCAGTTTAATATCGTCCACCCCCCTACCACTTGGTCTTTCCAGTGGTCTGTTTCCTCCCGGCTTTCCCACCAATATCCTATATGCATCTTCTCCCCCATTCGTTCTACATGCCCTGCCCATCTCATCAGTTTAATGAACATAAAATCCGAATGTTACACACAGAGTAACTCTGTCAGAATGAAGCCCACTGCGCTGCTTTCGGCATGAAGCAAAGAGAAGCTCTCAACGACAGGAGGAACAGCCTGTAGTCGGATCATACGGCACTGTTTTATTGACTAAGATTCATAGTTCCTTACGTAAGTTTGAAAAATTATGTTGTGTTCAATGTGCTTCCCTATGACGTCAAGAAATTCCACATTTTGAACTTACTAAGGACATCAATAATGTTCCGTCAAGTTAATCATCTCCAGCATTTGACCCTTCAATTTACAAACACGAAACAAGAATGCTGACCGTGAGCTACTGTACTTGTCAAGTGTCCATGAAGTATTAATTAATGTTACGTAAATTATTCTTCTCCTGACGCGAATTAAGCCTTCTGGTCTGATCCAGTTCAGAAATAACTCTGTAATTAGGAATACTTGACATCTGGCAGAGCTTCATAGGTCCATCTCAGGGGTCCTTTGATAAGCAGGACAATCCAACACAGAGAAGTTGAATTGAAGCCTGTATTCATGTCTAAAGCAGAATTCGAACCTCAGTCTTAGTAGATTGTAAAGGGTTCTGACAATGGTGTATGACACACAGAATTACTGGATTTTTGGACTTTTTCCATCGTTCGGAATTGTAGGTCAGTGTTCCGCAACCGGTGTGCCGCGGCACACTGGTGTGCCATCATAGGGTGAAAGGTGTGACCTATTGTAAGAAATTAATTGTCGAATTTTATTCGTTTTATTTTATCCCGGTTACCGTGTTTCACATGCTTGTATTTTATTCTCAGCCACTGCACTGTAAGATGATGCTTAATGTTGTATTTTAGCGTCCTGTTGCACTGATTTTCTTCCATAATACGTATGTAATAGCCGTCTTGTAGTGCACTCAATTTCATATGTCGCTTCTTACTACAGCTTTCGGCAACATAGTGCCATCTTCAGGTTCGTTATTTACGCTAAGCTATTACATTGTTTG